TTCTCTAGTCCAATAAGTATTAATGGTGAATTGACCCAAAGGCAGTCTTAAAGGAGCCCAGAATATTAGGGTCCCGCTTTTCAGCCCATTTCCATTTTTCTATGGTGACCCTACCTAAGGCTCGTTCAACTTGGAGATATAAAATAGGGCGTTTGGATTAGATTTTTTGGAAGAAATTTTAGGGTGTACAAAGTAAAAATGTAAGCTGTTTTGAAAATATTTTTCAAAAATGTTTTTTTGGGAGTTATCAAACACTCCTCAACATCTCCTCTCATTATTTGTAATCAATATCTAAGTATTTTCGAAATAAATTTTTTTAAATAATTACCTCTCATTAAAGTTTTTATTTTTTAAAATAAGTACTCGTATTGTTTTCTTAAATTACACGTGGGGAAGAAAATAAAATCTGCTATGGGGGATGAGAGATTGGTTACGTTTTCTACACGTGTCTTTCCCTGACCATCTCCCTCCAGCAGCCATAGGAGCAACGGAAACCATATATCCCGGGAAAAAATGTAACGCAGGATTCTCACTTCGCGCGAAAACCCCTAGAAAAACCGATGATACTAGTACCACCTTCCTCCGTTTCAGATCTCCGTACTCATACTGCACTCTACAGAAAATCTAGCTTCCTCCCTACTCGCACCAGACTAATCCTTCGCAGTTTCATCGCTCCTCGGTGTTCTTCGAGCGTGCAGGAGATTCAGAAGTCCTCTAGCCCCTCCGAGGACAGGCAGTTGAGTTCGGAGCTCTATGCTTCAGCCCCATTTCCTCCCGTCAAGGTCGCCAAGAGAGTTGTGTTGGTCAGGCATGGCCAGAGCACCTGGAATGCCGAAGGCAGGATCCAAGGCAGCTCCAATTTCTCGGTGCTTACTAAGAAGGGTGAGGCTCAGGCCGAGACTTCGCGTCAAATGCTCATCGATGATAAGTTCGATGTTTGCTTCGCCAGGTTCCATTTCCATGCGACCTTTCACAACTGTGAACTTGGTCACTTCTTAAATACTCGCAATGCTATTTTGTTTTCCTCCCAATGTTCATTTAGTTTAGCGTCTCAATCACAAATTTACAGCTTGCTTTATAGTTTATCTGTCAAATGGCTAACATGGGGGTTGTTTCTTCAAGTCCTTTGGCACGATCAAAGAGAACGGCGGAAATAATCTGGGAAGCTCGTGAACCGCAGATAATTACGGAATATGATTTGAGGGAAATCGATTTATATTCATTTCAAGTACGATCACCCTTTTATTCTTCCTTTGTTTTACGTCCATTTCTAGCTTATGGCTCGGTGTCACCGTTCTTGTTGCCTTATTTTATTTAGGGCCTCTTAAAGCACGAGGGGAAAGAAAGATTTGGTCCAGTTTATCGCCAGTGGCAAGTCGATGCGGCAAATTTCAACGTAGATGGTCATTATCCGGTGAGAGAGCTATGGGAACGTGCCAGGAGCTGCTGGGCTAAAATCTTGGCTCATGATAGCAGGTCCATTCTTGTGGTTGCTCACAACGCTGTCAATCAGGCTCTTGTTGCTACAGCCATTGGTACGTTTTTCTCCCCCATGGGAACTCAATGCTAAAAGTTGAAGACTGTAGACGGTATGGAATTGCTTACCCAATGTACCATTGGTACCAATCAGGTTTAGGGACTGAGTACTTCAGAATTTTGCTTCAGAGCAATTGTGGTGTGAGTGTCCTTGATTTCATCCCAAGATCTGAGGGTGGCTCTCCACATATTTGCCTTAACCGATTAAATCAGGTATATATTACATTTACTGTAATATAATACACACACACACACAGGTCAGCTCAGTCCGCACATGGAATTGGCTATGTTTTCCCCCCGCAACAGGTGGTAAAATTATCAGCTGACGTGAATTCATGCACTTTTCACCGCAGTTATTGTGACCAACTTGTGTAAAATTGTACACATTTTGTCTGTAACGTAAGTTTCAGAATGCACAAGTTGTCCAAGTTGGCTCCTCTAATTAGAATTGATTATTGGTGCAGACCCCTGGTTCGCCTGTTGCTAGCGGGAAATCTGGAGGTAGAAAGACAAAGAATCAGATAATACTTGTTTGTCATGGTTATACACAGGGCAATGCAGAGGTATGAAGCAGCAATATGACTAATCTAGCATTTGCTGCAAAGATGTTCAAAGCATCATGACTATAAATCTAACTAGGAATGTTTGATTATTTTCTGACAAGGAATATGTTTAAAAGTGTCCAAAGCATGATAACTGTAAATTTTAGATGTCACAGTTGCACGTCTAAATGATGCTTCTATGGAATCTGGTTTCATTAACTGCTTTCATTTTCCCCTCTCCATATGACTTCGTTGACATTAATATTTAACTAGAAGAATTTTGCATCTGGCAGGAATGTTCTTTTGAGATTTCTCTGGGTAGATTTCCACATGTCAGATTTCTAAATTAGCACCCTTGTGTTGAACAGGATGGTTTTCTTTTAGCTGGTGATCAACAATTGAATATGCTTGGTGTCATACAGGTACTACATCCAATTTCTAAAAATACTACCTCTGGTCCTTAATATAATATCTAGTGACCGGAGGTAGTAAAAATTAGGTAAAAACTATCCAATCTGACCATTGGCATACATAACAGTCCCAGAAATCTGCGGAGCTGCTTCTTGATTTGAAAGTGAATTCCATAATTAGCAGTCCTAACAAAGCCTGTTTTGGGACAGCTAATGCCATCTCCCAGGTAAGCTCTTTATTGGTGACTTTCACTTAATTACAATATCATTTGACTTTATTAGTGAGTAGTGAGAATCTCTGATTCCAAAATGATAGTCTAGTAGTATTTCTGTTTTTGAGAATGTGGTACTATTTTCCCTTACATTTATGTTCATTATGAAGAACGGTAAAAGAATATCAAGAGTTATATGATACATGGTGACACGGATAATTATTTGTCAACCAGAGATTGAGGCTTGAAGTAGTAATAGTCTTTATTCCATGATTTCCTTTATTGTTCGAAGCTTCTGTTTTCAATTTTTTTGGTTAATTTTCAAATTGTCGACTTCTCATTCAGTGTAGCAATGAAACTATGCATCATTACTTGTCGCCTATCCTGTTTCTTCCTCTCATTCCCTCCATCTTACCTCCCAACTTCCACATCTATTTTTCGTTCTCTTATACTGGTTCTACTTTAGTCCTTTTATTGACATTCTGAGCATGATTTTAGGTGCAAGAAGCTGCTGACTGCTTGGGTGCTGATTGTGTACCACGCTATGTTGAGATGAAACAAATGGAGAACCTGGATGTTGAAACAATCTTTCAGCAATCCAAGGCAAGAACTTAACATTTAAATGTGTGCATCCACGCAAGCATTTTTTGGGAAAAAAAAAAAATCATTTGTCAACTAGTTGAGCAATGACCGCTGGCTAGTTCCTGGAGTATTTTGTGTGTTGGAAGAAGCTATACGGTACTGAAATGTGATAGAAACTTATGGACTTCCAGATATGGATCACTGCAAAGCATGTAAACTTGGTGGAGGTTCTAGGAAATAAGAATTGCTTTTTTCTCGGTTTACAGCTATCTTGTCTTCACGCATTCCTATATCGCCATGTTTTGATTCTTCCTATCTAATTGTTGCAGGAGATGTCGAATTTTTCAGCTATTCACCCGGGCTGGTTAAATAAGATGGAGGATGGGGAGAGAACAACGTTATGGAATCAGTCTGGACAGGCCTGGCGGTCTCTGTTGGAAGAACTGTCCGACGAACCCTCATCTTCAGAAGTTGTGGTTGTAGTTGGCCATCCTGCCATCCACATAGCGCTCATGGGTCACTGCTTAAACGTGACAAAAGAATGGTTGGGATCATTTCATCTTGATGCAGGGAGTGTGAGTGTCATCGACTTCCCTGACGGACGCAAAGGAAGAGGCGTTGTCAGGTGCATAAATTATACTGCACATCTGGGAAGATGGTCCATACCTATCACAAGATCAACAGAGGATAGTGAAGAGTTCTAACCATGTATTGTGATTCCAAATTAGCATGACTTGGTAAGTTTCCAAGGGTTTGTGTAGCAAACACTGATATCCCATATTGTGAGTTTCTGCTCATTTGTAAATTTGGATTTGATGGCATTTAGACGTCTAATTGTCTATATATCTATATTTATATATGATATATGGGGAAGGGGCAGAGGTTCGGGGGAAAATATTTGTATATGATGCTACGAAATTAAAATTCATAGAAAACATCTCAAGACATGAATAACAAAGCAATGCTTGTTTTAAATTTTTACGTATGCAAGCATAAAAACTTCAGAGCATCTCATTCAAAAAGCATACGATTATGATTTCCTTAGAATGTCATTCTCTAATCTCTATCTGCGATTCCATTTTAATACTCTGACCATAAAATAATATTTTAATTTTTCATGCTATAACCAAACATTCGTGTAGCACTACAGTCGCAGTTCTTTTTATTTTGAAGCTTTGGATTCATAGCACTGAAGTTTTGAATGCTTGTACTAATGTGTTTTTTTTTTGGTAAGTAATACTAAAATTTCTTCGCGAAATGAGATGTCGAGTTTGGGGCTAAAGTGTTAAATCTGTATCCAAATTAATCAAAAGATTGGTTAGTTGTTGAACAAAATACTATGGGGCGGTTGGTGAGTCGATGCCCTCGTTTGGGTGAGAGACCAGTGGGGTGTTTGGTGTACGCCAGAAAAACCCTCTTAAAAAAAAAAAAAGTTCTACGCGATTCCGTGACAAAATTCTTTTTACATATTTTAAGTAGTATTTGGATGCTTTCAAAAGCACTTTTTGAAAAGTGATTTTATATAAATTAAAATAATTTTTTATATATATTTATTTCGTATATGATAAAATTATTTTTAAAATTATAATTTGGATTTTACTAAAAACTCTTTCAAAGCCATGGCCCAAATACCTCGTCAGGTGGACGGGGCTGGCCCAGTCCAGTACATGCTCCTTTGGGCGCAATGCCCGTGAATCTCACTTGGAGACGCAGATTTAACAGGGGTTTTAGGGTCTGATTCAAAGACCGAGCGAGCGAAAATGGCAGCTTCGATGGCTTCAATGGCGGGAAGACGAACGAGTGTCCGTTTCTTATCCAGAACTTCGACGACTTCGTGCCCAAGGGGATACTCTTTTTTCGGGTCACCCCAAAACTCAAGTTCCATCCCTCTGCGCACTCCCATTGCCCACTCTTCTCCTCTTAGGTACTCCACTTCTTCTGAAGCTCGCAATTCACAGTTACCACTGCAGATTCAACAGTGTAAAATGTTCGTTTTACTTAATGTGATTTTGGTTATAGTTGTGACTCTGGATTCTTGCCCAGGTTGCTGCGAAGAGAATTGAGCTCCTTTAAACCCGAACACAGCGCGATTGCTTCTGCCTATCTTGTTTCCAAGCTTCCCTGCAATGCCAGTACTCCTAACGAAGGTTGCTTTCTCCTTTTTCCCTCTGATTTAATTCGCACTTTGCTGGGAAACCATCTAGATCAAAGGCATTTTGTCCATGTAAACAGTCAAATGGTAAAGCGACATTTGGCTATGTCCCGGGCTCCATCGCTGAGGTCAACAATTTGATCATGCTGTATACTCATTTTTAATGTATTTTTGCCCATATACTCGAACAATTCTAGGCAGAGTTGACCTTATATATATATATATATATATATATATATATTAATTTGGAATGAAATGGAGTTTCATTCAAAAAATAATGATGTACAGGCCTTACATTGCGTTTGATTAACTTTCAGAGAACATTAACCGGATACGGTTTGATTTAAGGATTCAATTCGGGAATCCTCATTTCAAGCTGGAATGTAAGAAGAGACTTATCTTTTATTGGATTCTTTCATATTTTCCTGTCTTATCAGAAGCTGCATTGTCCGTGTAGAATTATGGGAATAAGCTGATGACTAGTGAGTGTCTAGGAAATTATTGGCAGAGATAACTCAGATTTGAGGCCGAATGTAATTAGTCCATGATCTAGTTTTTGTCATAAGAATTAAATACAACATGTCATGTAGAACTGTAAGCTAATGTTTTATCTATGGCGCTATTACTTTAGCCGTCAGACAAATTGAAGCGCAAGAATCATGACGATTTTGCTTTTCTTTGACGACAGGAAGATTTGCTAACTATATCAGTCCTATCTGATAATGGGTGGTGTGGAGATGAGGAGTTTTCTTGTAAATTTTTGAACAACCTTATTCTTCATTCCTCTATTCGGGGATGCAGTATTTAGACTAGACCAAGCACTGAGCCGGTTTGCTACTTGGAAGTTTGAATAGTGAGATTTTGATGGTCTTCTGGTGCTGCAGCTCTGGCATATGTTTGTAACTTTGATAAGTATAGCGATGTTGTTACTTTTTACATCGTCTTTGAAATAATGTCTGGAGGAACATTTGAGAATCAGTTTTAAACATGAGATTGCTTGACCAATGAGAATGACATCCACGTTTCTGTTGTTTTTTGGCTCTTAATGTGACTTTGGATAACACTAGCACAATAATTGGTAAGTCTGTACGTTTAAAACTTAGTAGCAAAACACGAGAGGTCCCGCTTTCATATGTGACCTAAATACCTCGTAGGTCAAGTTATGAAAACATGTTTCATCGCAGTGTTCATTCCTTCTCTCCAAATTCCAATGTCTTAATTCTATAGTCTACTTGACAACCTTGTTTCTGTGTTCATTGAGGTACTGTAGCTGGTTGGCATATACCATATAATAAGCCTTTTTTTCCGACAGTATCTTAACAAAAGCTTGAATATGTGACATAGCTGATATTGCCTGACATTTTTATTCCATAGTGATTGCATGTAGCGAATGAAAGCAAAACACCTCATTGCAATATTTCAGTTAACTATGGTTATCATTAATCAGATATGGCAACCATGTCAGGCTTGGTTCTCTCTTTTGGGTAGACAGTTTAAGCATCTGTGACTCAATGGCATCTTTTAATGATGAATAAGTTTATGTGCTATGATCAGGAAGGACACATTTTTGTAGAGTTAAATCTTTGCCTTGGGCCCTTAGCTTCAGTTGTGTTCATGAAATATGTGCTCCGTCATGCACTAAGCATTGTTGGCGTCATCATCATTTGCCGTAAGTAGCATCGGCGTTAGTGAATTGTAGAATGCTACTCAAGTTAAACGTGGCATTTATGCATCTTCATTATCAATTAGTTTCCCCTTTAACTTCTATTAGAATTTAAGAAATCTCTGATGACATCAGACCCATGGATTGACAACTGTACCAGTTTATGGAACTGGGTTTGATTTGAATGCAGGATCGATCTGAAGCCTGAAGCATCTAATTGGTTGATGTTGCTGGTATTATCAGGTATGATAATGATGGTAAGAGGAATTGAGGCAAGAAAGGCACAGCTGAATTGCAAGTGTTATTTCCAGTCATTAATATTGTTTTCTGTTAACATGATAATGATCTTCTTCACCAACTACTAAGACGCAACAACATCCATTGAATTCTAAACATAGCCTTTCTTGAATTGTCTTTGAAACAAAGATTCGCCTATTATATTAGTTTTCCGTTAAGGTGATTGGCTTAGAAGACTAGAATTGCATATGCTCTCAAGCGGATGAGATGTCATCTTAATTTCCCTTACTATTTAAAGCTGTTGGGAGTGTGATGACGTGCGACCCGTTTCATATGGATCACGAATAGGATTTTTTTTCCTTAAAAAAAAAAAGAAGAAGAAGAGGAGGAAGAAAAAGAAAAGCAAAAGGACGGGGATGAGAATTAATAACAATATTCGTTAGCTTACTAAAAAAAAATATATATTCGTTAGCGTTGGGTTGAGAAATAAATAATGAAAGTGAAATAGATCAAATTAGTCGAGGAGAAGTAATGTTAATTTATTCAAAGGTGACTTTCATTCTAAAATAAGCTTATTTTTATGGTTATTTATAAGTAATTGATTATTTATTTATTCTTTTATACCAGATTAGCCTAAAATACAACCTGAACTCTTGGTAATATCTTAGAAAAATGAATAATAATTTTAACAGCAGTTATTGGAAATGCTGTGCAATTATTAACGAAAAGCAATCAATTAAATGTAAATTTCAAGGAAGCAACGAAAGAAATAAGAGAATGCTGACACACTTTATTATTAGTGAAGGTGCAGCGAGATGATTGTGATGATTAATCTTCTTGTCTTTCTCACTTGTCAGAAGTCAGAGATTAAAACCCTAATTATGATGTTAATATTCTAGCGTAGAACACAAATTATGCCTATATGAAGAAATTGCTATGCATCACCCTAAAAGTAGAAATCTTTGTTGCTTCTCTTGTCAGCTTTCTTTGTCTTTTTTATTTGGACCCATATAATCATTTATTCATGTTTCTTAAGTTAGTATTCTGGGCAGGTTAGATTTTTTTTTTTGTACAGTTAGAATTAGATATACACAGACTTAATCTTAAATACTTCATTTGAAGACTAACCACTTCACTAAATGAAATGAAACTGCACTTTATTAGGTCCATCGGATACACACGTATAAAGCTGTTTAGTGATTCTACAAAAATTAATCACGGAACATAAAATCGTTTATATAATTTTTTTTTTAGTATTTTGATTTTTTGACCCTGAAATTCTTCAAAGTTCATCCGTCATTATCAGTTGCAAGTTGTTAACATGTAGCATCACTTATGCTCATTAAACAAATTATATAACAGTTGAATTTCCCAGAAGACTTTGATAATTAAATCATTAATGAGTATGTAATAGAAGGTATAATCTAAGAGCCGACCCAAGTGGTGTATTGTATATTTGTATTGTGGCTTCCCTGAAGTTTCATGATGAAGAAGAAGCTATATAAGAATTTTTTCTTTTGAGTTGGATTGCTTTGTTTGGTTTGAATTGTGACCCTCACGTCGTGTCACACTAAGGCCACCTGGAATCTTAAAGAGTGCAAGTAATGTGTTAGCATGAAATGGGAAAGAAAAAGAGGAGTGGGAAGCCACCAGTCTCCTACCTTATAGGTACTTTGAGCAAAGAAGGAAAAGGGAATATATAAAGTGACATAAAGTCACAAACCAAACAACTCCAAAGTTAATACGACATTATACATATAAAGGGACTCCCTATTTCAATTCATTCCCTCAGTCCCTACCCTCCACCACCCCCATTTGAATTCTAGAAACTTCCCAGAAGGGGAGCCCTATGATCAGTTAGCTATTAACATTTCAAAATTGAATCTACTTGTTAATTTTATCATTCAAACTGCGACTTATATCCAGTAAATAAAAAATGTACACATATGTGGTGAGACTTCCATGAATAATCAACTTTCATCTCTTTTCATTTTTCTTAATGTTTTTGGCGAAGATCATTCTGTTTCATTTTGTTGTCTGTGACAGATTCCTCCAATTCTTGTCCATCCCTCATTCAATTCCTCTTTCTCCTCATCACATTCTTATGCATATCTAATCACACACACACACTCTCTCTCTCTCTACACACGCACGAACTTACATTTATTCTGTTCAAACTTCATAGTTCAAAGTTCAAAGTTCAAAACAACATAATGCTAGTTTGTGCTAACTCAGTAACTGCTCAGTCTGCTTTTTGAAAAGCTGTCACACAACTTCTATTTATGTTACTTCAGCCTTCACAACTTCACTGTGCTTTACTTTTATTGCAGGGGGATGTGCAAAATAGAGAGAGAGAGAGAGAGAGAGAGAGAGAGAGAGATGGAAGGAAGTGTTGACCTGAGCTTTAATAATTCATGGGGTTGCCTTGTTGATTTTAATGCTCTTCTTTTTTCCCAACTGCAACCACATGACATTATAAATTAAAAGGATGTAACAAGTGTACCTGTCCTCATTATAATACTCACATCCTTTCTTTTTCATATATACATATCTCACATGCTTCCATTACTCTCAATTTTAATATTCTTGACTCTGTATATATAACAGACAAATTAGAGAGTTGTCCCCTTATTTTATACATTTAATTAATCAATTCAATCTGAACTTTAATATGTCAAGTTTACCTCCTTCTCTTACACAAATGTGGTGTCACATACATAAAAAATGATTTTGGGGCTACACTTGGTGGTTACAGAGGCCAAATTTATTTCGTGGGGCCAACATTTACTATCACATCATTGAGAGCTTTTCTCCTTAACCCTTTCATGTTATCAATGTATCAATCACCATAAATATAAAATTTCTAATTTTTAACTACTTATAGTAGCATATAACAACTTATTCATAATATAATCGTTTCTTATATTTCATGTATTTTTGAAGACACAAGAAACACATAGGAAAATATAACTAGTTAATATGATTGAAAAAGTTAAGTCCTTTAAAAGAGCTCGTGCTCTAATAACTCAAATTTTTAAAAAATTTATACTTAATACAGATAAATTAAATGTAATAATTAAATATGCTTTTTTTTTTTTTTTTACAACAAGGTCAGATAAGGTTTTCCTCTTCTTTTTTTTTTTTTCGGTTTAATGTCGCGGCCCAACCTTTTCCATTCTCTGGGACCCCAATTTTACAATCCCAATTCGAATAGTTATGGTTATCCTTACCGATATTTGAGAGGCGGTTTGCTTACAGTACACTTTCCAAACTTGTAACTTTAAATCTAGAAATGTCAAATTGTTTTTATTTCTTTATTTCAATTTTTTTTATCAGTCTAAACATAATTATCGTTTCATGGGTCCTTTGTAACTTAAGCATTTCCTTCGGAGTTTGGAAAAACTTAATTAAGATTACTCACTCACAGATGAGATGAGGGGGGTGTTTATTTAAAGAATAAATAATTAATTTAAGGAGACATAAAATTATGAAGTCTAGAGTCATGCAATGCACAAGATAAATGATAATCAGATGGAAACTTTAAATCCAGGGAGTCCTGATTTGAACAAAATTTCATATAAAAAAATTCAAATAAAAAATAATGAAAAGAGATTATGAGCTTATGACCAGCATGAGGATTAAAGAAACATACAGCTCAATACACGAGAAGCATGGAATTAATGCAAGCATGTCTTTAAATGATTTGTGAATATAAAGTAAATCATAGAGAGAACATATATTCTTTATAATTTGTTGGCAAAAAATATATTTTTTATAATTTATGAAAATGCATTTGCACAAGATTTGGTGGATATAGATATATAGATATCAGGTACTTGGAAATTATTTGTAAAAGGACAAATGAAAAATACACATACATATACAATAAAGAAATTTTAACGAATTGCATTATCTATGAGACATTAATTAATAACATGATTATTTTTAAGACTCCACGAAATGCACATGGCTATACTACTAATTAAAACCGAAATTCTTGTTATTAGACAGAGGAATTATAGAAGCGTTGAAAATTAGTGAACTGTGCTCGTGAAAATAATTCTTTTTTTTTTCCCCCTGCTTCGCTGCTGTTTAGTTTGGGCATTTTCAGATTTTATCCCAACAATTTTTTTTCCCTTAACCGCTTCTCATCATAATAACAACATTTTTGAAGCCCTTGTACGAAGAATCAAATCAAACACAAGCAGTATCATAATCCTAGACCCTGTCACTTAATGCTAGTCAAGTACGCTTTCTTTGGTATTATTGACTTTTCCTTTCTTGTTTGTTTCTTTTCCTTCTTCTTTTTATATTGTTCGTATTAACTGGCAACATGCATTAAAAAAAGAACGCCGCTTGGGTTTCTCCCTCAATCTTCTCTTCTTCAGTTCTTTGTCCTGAGATTCATATTTGAGGGGAGAGAGGAGAGGGAGAGGGAGAGGGAGAGGGAGAGAATCTTATTTAATGGTAATGGGCCTGTCTGAAAACCAGACTTCTCATTTATCCTCTTTCTCAGAGCTTCATCTCAGAAAATCTAGACCCTTCAAATGTTGGCATAACCTCCATTCCTTGATCTTCTGATTTACTTCGTATAATACAAAAGTATCCCCCCCCCCCCAAATTTGCGGGTTTCTTCTAAATTTTGGATCTTCAGCTCTGCAGAAATGAGAGACGTGATCTCTTGTTTCAGTGAGAACGCTGTCAACGTGTCTCCTTATTCTTCATGTTCTAGCCTCTCAAACAACGCCTGTATCTCTCCCAGTCTCGTACCTTCGATCCAAAACACAGTTTCTTGCGTCCACAAAATCATCCTCTCTACGCAAAAGCAGCTTTTAATCACAGTCACATGGATTAAAAACCATTCCAATCAAGGAATCTCTGTTAACTTCAACGATGACGACCCCACGACAGCGATTTTCAGACTCAACACCAATTCGAGGCTCTTCAGCAAGAAAAAAAGCAGCAAATTTCTGGAATCTGGAGACTCAAAGATCGAGCTTTTCTGGGATCTTTCAAACGCCAAGTACGACTGTGCCCCTGAGCCTCTTGATAGCTATTATCTTCTAATCCTCGTTGATTCAGAAATAGCTCTAATTCTGGGTGACATGGCCGAAGAAATTGTGACTAAGAAGCTTAAAGGTAGCATTCCAATGGCCAAATCCTCACTGATTTCTCGTCGAGAGCATTGGTCAGGAAATACACTTTACACAACGAGGACACAGTTCTGCGAAAATGGGGATTCGCACGAGATTTTTATACGATGCAGCGGAGAGAACGAAGGGTTGAAGAATGTGAAGGGCCCAGTTCTAACGGTTTGCATTGATAAGAAGACAGTGATAAAAGTGAAGAGGCTGCAATGGAATTTCAGGGGAAACCAGACGATTTTCATTGATGGGTTGCTCGTGGATTTGCTTTGGGATGTTCATGACTGGTTTTTCAGTTCATCACCATCATCATCTTCTTCTTCTTCTGGGCGTGCTGTGTTCATGTTCAGAACTAGGAGTGCGTTGGATAGCAGATTGTGGTTGGAGGAGAAGAATGTTCAGAAAGAGAGAGACAGAGTCGGCTTCTCCTTGTTGATATATGCCTGTAAGACCCCTCCATGAGGGCAAAATTTGGCCTTTTGCTTGTTCTTCGGAAAAAAACAAGGAAAGATAATCTAATTTCTTATTCTTTCTTCTTGAATTTTAACTCCTCTTGATTCTTTATCATCAGGGAAAGATTTGAAAGAAAATAATTTGAATTCCGACAGAAAGAACACCGAGCTATTTTAAACTCTCTCTCTCTCTCTCTCTGTTCCTGTGGGTTATCTTTCTGCCCAGACAGGGATACAAATAAGAAAATGCCGAGATTGTTTGAAAAGTTTTAATCTTTTAGGATGCCCGGGAAGATGACTGAAGACGCATCTCCTGAATGAATTACCAGTAGCATATCTTGACCACATTAATCTAGTAATGTTGCTTAGAAATCTCTGTTCTTTTTGTTATGATTGATTATGATCGATCAGTGATGGAGACAAGAACACGACAAAGGTGTGATTTTGATTAGGGAATAGAAATAGGATGGTGCCTAAAAAGGAGTTTGTAAAGATTGATGAAGATGGAAGGAGTTCAGAAGTGATATTGAAATGCAGGAGGTTTGTCTCTAGTGGGCACGGCGGTGGTCTATTCTATGTTGCGAGATGCCTTGACATGCTTTGATGACACTACACTGTGTCTATGGTCCCTCCTAATAAACACACATTCGTAACCCATTCCCTCCTCCATGGGAAAATTACTTTGGTAATATTGAGCCTGTTTGAAATAGTATTTTATAAGCACGTTTAATATAAATCAAGACGAAACTTTCTTTGCATGTTTATTTTAAACAGGCCATTATAATTCAGGTATTTGATCTTTTTGAGTTGTATAATCTTAAAATTTTGTTATAATTGTTTGACTCGGCTAATACTTGGCACTTTCTTAAATTTGATATGAGCACGAAGTTGCGAGTTTGGGTCTTAGTGATGAGTGGGTGATTTTCTTTTCTTGGGTGATGGATAATTTAAAAAAAATCTTAAAATTTTAATTTTGTGGATAGGGGCAGAGAGAGAGAGAGAAACTAACAGCCCCCAAGTTTTTATTTTTGAAAGAATATAAATTTTACGCATGTTATTTATATCATTTTGATTCTCAATCTCGCTCGGCCTTTTTTATGAATCAAAGTCACTAATGAGTTTTTCAAAGTGAAAAAAAAACAGAAAAAGAAAAAAAGAGCTGCTAATGAGTCTTTAAGAGATTTGCCATCACATTTCTAGAGAAATTTATAAGTAGTACTTTTTAAAAAAATGATAGTGATTTTTAAATTCTTAATGATATTAACTTATTACTTTATTTATTGGAGCTATCATCTATGTTCTTTATAGTTACAATTCAGTCATTTTAACGGTACAAAAATATCTTAAGATTATAGAAATAAAGTATCTTATATATATATATTCAGGGTTATTATCATATTTAATTCCTGAAATGTGATTTTATTTTAATTTTAATCTCTAAAATTTAAAATTAGTGGTTTTATTCATTTAAACTTACTCCAGGGGCCAAAAACATTGTTTTAATTGAGAACAAAAGTTTTTAAATGGATTAAAATGAGGTCAGCTTTTAGGGATAAAAATAAAATAAGGTGAAACTTTAAAGATAAAAGTTGTATAAACTTTTATTTATCACTGTCTTTAAATGAAAACATTGTTGTACCACGCAAAAGATTATTTGTGCTTTAAAAATACGAGTGTAAGACTTTCAAGTTCAGTAAGGGTGTAAGTTCCAATTCTTTTGCAAATGAATATGGATCACGTCAATAGATAATTTATAAGTACATGCACCAAGTAACCATGATAAACTTGAGACTTGAATACTTGACTCACTGTTTTTTAATAATAAATAAATAAAAGACGTGTAGCTCTTACTTTGCCGACAAAAAATCTGCATGGTGGATTCAAAATGGTACTTGATGCTAAGAATAAAAATGGGGCATGTTTTGTGAAGAATTCAGTGTGCGAGAATTGCGGTTTCAGCACATTCATTGTATTTACTATTTAGAAAGCTAATAATTTCATACGCTTCATCTTGATCTAGTCTACTAGTTTGGGTATCTTCCATTAATTAAATTGTTGTGCAACGAGTAGGCCAACAAAATGTTTCCAAGTTAGGTATGTGATTTAAGTCTTAAGTTGAGGAAACCCAGAAAATGTAGAACTTTATAATATTGTACTTTGTATGATGCTGACAGGATAAATTTTGGTGCTAATTAAGTAATTATATGCTCCCATCCTCCATAATTAGCTTGCTTTTGGTGCACAGATTTCAGCGTACGTAGTTGTAGCGGTTGGACTTTGTGATTAAGCTTATATCATTATCATCCTCACCATCATATATTGGTTAATGTCTCTACCTCCCGTTTTTAAATAAAATTTTATTTAACTTTTATTTTAATTCTAAATATAAGACCCTAATCTATTTGTTTTTATATTTATATATTTTTTTTCAAGGTAGTCCTTGTAATAATAGTAGTTTAGCTAATAAACTTGATTAAGAAAGATATTTTAGAAAAGACAACACATATTTATTATAAATAACTAACTTAACTTCTTTTCTTAATCTCCTCAAATTAGTCAATTAGCTCTTATAATTAGGACCGGAAATAGTAATAACTTTTTAATAGAATACAAAGTACAGGAAAAGGGGGATGAAATGATATAGCCGTATATTTTTTTTAGCAGATACATGTATTTTTTTTCTTGGTAACAATCCATTAAGTATAAATAATGATTCAAACCTTAATTATGTAGTCGTATTCTGTGTGAAAAAAAAAAAAACAAAGGACGAAGAGCATATGTGCACGTTGCTGCAAGTCGTGTGAAATTATCTGTGATCCATGTGACGGGACCACGGCCGAATTAATGAATGATACACACATAGATGGCCTCAAAATTTGGTGGGCCTCTTCTGATATCTGTTTCGGTTTTTCTGTTTTTTTCTTTTAATGAATAAAGGCAATCTGGGTTCTGAAAGGACTATGTACAAACGCAAACTTATTTCTTGAAACCCAACTGGCATCCAGAAATTCTACCGAGCTAGTTGCTTGCCTTCCACAACATGGCATCCAAAAATGTGCCTTTAATATGGTTACTCTTAATTATGCTCGACAATGCATGGATCTAAATTAGATAACTGTATTTGAAAAAAATTAACAAAACTGCCTGAATTCCTGAAAAGTAAAATTTTTAAAAAAACTAATTAACATTTTCTGCTTGTTATTTTTGGACAAATTCAAGTAAATGATATATATTTAATTATTGATCACTTTATCATTGAACGCTTACTATAGATTCATCATACTTTAATCAAAAAATACACACGCACGCGTACGCACATATGACAAAACCTGTAACAATATACAATATTTATGTCATAAAACAGGCAGCTTATTTCTCGAACTGAACGCATCCCATTTTTTAAGAGAACAGTAATATAAAAAATAGCATGAAACATTGGAACTTTAACTGAAATTACAAGGAAAAGAAAGGGTTGGCAGAGGTCATGGCAGCGGCTAGCAATATCAACCGACCATTTTACCCCACAGATGATGGGAGCTTCATGTTCGTTATCATCACAACCCAATAATTTAGGCAACATTATATTAATCGTTTTTTTTTTTAAACCGTGGATAGATCGAAACTCCTTCACATTTCAGGAGTAACGACTAATGATAAAAGGAAATTACAATATTTTGGCCCGTGTGATTTTTATTTTATCCGCATGCATGCTTACTTTTTGAAACGCCAAATCTCGAGATCCAATGATTCAATCATATTATTGTTTTTTTCAAACATATGCTTCACTAGCAGCAGAAACTATGATTTCTTGAAGTACTAGAAATGAAGTTCTATATTCATTCCACATAGAAATGCTGTTATTAATTAAGTTAATTCTTTTTTTTTTTTGGCCAGAGGCTATTGATATATTACATAAACCATGCACATAATATGAAATATCACTTTAACAAAAAACAACAAAAAGAGATCCATACACCCATCTTCATCTTGCAGACCTAAGATATGTAATATTTCTAATTTAATTTCATCACTAAGGACTCTCTGGCCTTATAAGAACTCAATCTTCTAATACCCTTTGCTTATATTTCCATTACAAAAATCAGCACAGTAATAATACAGAGCAGAGAAAAGAAGACGTTACCAATGTCGCTTATGGACCCATCGGACGATAGGATCTCGTCTTCTGCAACAAAAGAAAAAACATAATCAAAATCGGAGCCAAGTAACAAGTAAGAAATCTTTTTTCTGCACATTAAATCAAATGCGCTTACTGCATTCTTTGGTGTGGCATAGACACTTCAACCCAGCCCCACAGTTCCCATGAGGCTTCTCACACTCCTTACACAGATCTGGAACATGATCCGGAATGTCGAAAGAGATCCTCGTACCCAACTTATATCCTCCGTAGTTGCTAACATCTGAAGAACTTTTATGGACCCACATGTAATTTGAGCAGTTCAAATGCCTAGGATGAAACCCCTTGTCAATTTTGTGGACGTCCTTAACAACTAAACATTCATAAGGCTTAGATGAGTATAGTTCCCTGCAGTTATGCAAGAATGGCGAAATGATGTTTTTGTTTCTTCTTTTGATGGAACAGTTGAAGAGAAGAAGTGAATCAGATTCCGGAGGAGAAGGAAAACCAGCAGTGACCGCCTGAGGAGAAACAAATTGGAGAGAGGAAGAAGAAGAATGTGATATTGTTACTGTTCTAGCGTTATAGTCGATGGAAGTAACTTTGAAAAGGCCCAGAGATGTTCTGAAGTAAAGGTTGTGTGATCTGCATAGGGTTATGTTATTCAATATAGATGAAGAAGAAGATGAAGATGATGTTTGGCTCATGATCTCACCACAATAGTTTGTATGATTGTGTTGGGCCATGCAAGTAAACTCAAGCATGAGGTTGAACAAGAGAACAGAATGAAGAATACTGAATTTCTTCATATTCTTTACTTTCCTGAGTCGAAATCTGAAATCTTGAATCTTGTTCGGGTTTTTCCTTCAGGATCATAGTAGGGAGGAAGACAGAGCAGGGTCTTCAAGAATCCACAGTTTCCTTATGATTTTTGCAGTTGGGCCCATGTGTCTCTAGATTGATCTTTATAAGAAAGGTTATATTGCTTCGAGGAATCAGTAGCTAGGCTACAAATTCAATTTTCTTTATGTGATTATGCCATGTCCCTTTGAAATGGAACTTTACTTTTGCCCATTAGATTCCTTTTCTTTTCCTTCCTCTGTGCTTTGTTTCTCACACTATTGCTTATTATATATTTTTCTGATCCATGTGTCGTTCAATTCCCCTCACCACCATGGATTCTCATTAACAGACTCCTAAAGTTACATTTCCGAGTTACCTGCTTTTTCAGGTCATTAATATTCTTCCATATAAAGTGATAGAATCTCTCATCACAACCATTTGCTGTCACTCAGAATCATTTACTTTATCAGGCAATAAAGTATTACCAAACAGCAACTTCATGATCCATTAATCAGAAGGGAGAATAAAAGACCTCATGGCTCATTACAAGTTGAGAATAATTGAGAACTGACAGGCACATAGAAACAAAACCCCATAATTTTACATATACTAGAAACAGTTTTCTTAAAGATGGAATCTTTGCCGCTTTATGATCTTCAGGATCATGCTGTGGCGGTAGCTGGCGGTGGCTTAACAAGAGTGGACGGGAAATCCAGAAGCACAAGCTTCTCAATGGCAGCAGAAAATGTTGCAGAGAATTCCACATGATTTGGATGACCTTGAAATGCAACGAAGTCTTCCTTACTGTTGAATGTCATCAAGAAGGCATGAGTGTAACCCTGTCTTAACATCTCTGGGCTCTCAATGTCCTGTCCCCTGTTGATACCAATTCAGTCATATTAATTGGAAAACTATTCATATATCTTTCCTCTACGTATCAAACTTGCCTTTGAAATTGAGTTCTAGATGGTAAGCAAGTATATCAGAATTATGGCTAAACAGAATCAAAGGGAAAGGGTCTTATTGTTACCATTCAAAGTGTTTGACAGCATCAATCTGAGAGACCATCTTCCCCATGCCTTTGATGAGATCTTCAATGGCCACACCTTCCTTGAACTTAACAATCACAAAGTGTTTGAACTCTCCCATGGCTACTTCACTTATGGTTCAAATCTTGTCACTGCCTACTCAGATATATAATGCACGAAAGGCTTGTAATATATGTGCAATTTGCACGTCAAACCCCACAGTCCCAATCTGTCGCTTGTCATATCAGATACGCTTTACACTTTTAAGTTATACCAGGACAGTATATTTCATGTTTAACCGCGTGTTTGCAGTCCTGTTCGGGGTCAGATGTGGGCTAAAGAACGGAAAGAAGTCTCACATTAATAAAAAAAATTGAAGTAAATAAGAGATAAATAAAAGAAAGTGGTATCAATATCTCAGCTAGAGATTTTTATTGACCCGAAGTTTGAAGGGACAGCATTCACAGCCAAATCTCTGAGGAAAGATACAGGCTCTGTTCAAGGTATAGACCCACTAGTGGGGAACCCCTTGGGTCTATCCTACAGTAAAATTTGTCTTGTGTCATTGTCGCAGCACATGAATGGGGGTCTACTTGGTGTCATTTCCCCCTGCAAGTTTAGGTTTATGGTTTGGCCTCTGCTCAGAACAGCCTATCATGATTTTCCCCTTTGGACCAACCTTACTTTCTAGTTTGTTCCCGGGTCAAATTTTTATGCCTCGATAATTTTCATAGCTAAAACCTGCTTTATAAAAGGGAGCAGGAAAAAAAGAAAAGAAAAAACACTTTTTGAAACTTTGTTCTCATGAGGCAGTGGATTTCTTGAATTTATTGACTTTAGTGAGATTTGCAGAAAAGCATAGTGGGAGTTCATGGACATTTTCCTCCATGTCCTTGCCATGTGCAGGAGTAAAAATGATAGCTAAGTGACATGAGTTTCATGATAAGGTCTATAACCTAGTGACATGAAAGTTCCTTATAAGTAAGAAGTCATCTAGGTAAATATAAGTAAATGCGACAATGCTTTTGATGTTTTAACCTGGTAGCATCGAAGTTCCCTTATAAATGAGAGATCATAGGCTCGATCCATTAAGTGTTTTTTTTTTTTTGCTTTGTGGGCCTCTCACGCCCACTTTGATTCTACTTGTAATTTAATTCTAGGCCGCTGTTATAATTCTTATCAAATCGGTTGTATGTTTAGCTCAAAGCCATCTTCCAGAGAACAAATCCAGGTCACCATTTCTGGTTCGTTTCGGAGTTAACCTGCGTCATTAACGATTTGAATGTCCATTTTCTTTGCCAAGTCTAAATTTCCAAAACGTTTGTCTTTTCGGTCGAAATTAAAGTAAGACATTAGAGTGGAGGTAAGTGAAATGTTGCGTCATATAATTGTCTTGAAATAACGTGGACCGATAGGTAATCCGTCCTACTCACTCTTTATCGGACAAGATGCCTTTGTGATGTTGGAATTGTCTAAACTTTTTCTCTTCCCGTTTGAAATTTCTCTTAATAATTTCTTATCAGGATTCCAATCACTTAATGATACGTTTCATCAATTAGCACAATAATTGGCTCGAGTATTTACCCCCTTTCCTATAGATCGCATTTAATTAACGGGTTTTCATTTAATGCTCATCACAAGGATGAGCACCAAGTGCTTATCACTTTAATGTAATCTAAACCATCCAAAATTTAAGATGGATGATTCAGATTTAAAATTTTTAATATATAATTTTTTCAATGATAAATTTATTTTTTAAAGATATGTTAATTATGATATTATATTTATTTTAAAATTTGTATTTATTAAAACAAAAAATTGATTAAAATATATAAAAAATTAAATTTAATTTGAGCCATCTAAAATCGATCTGGATGCTTCAAATTATAATGAGCACTCTATGCTCATCGTTATGATGAGCATGGAATGTGCTCCTTTTAATTAACATCTTCGCTGGATATGGAGATGCAACTTCTAATCTGCAAAGTAGTTAAAAAAAACCTATTTCTTGCGTTAAATTCTCCTCTTTTTCATCTTCTGCAACTGCATGACATAACCCTAGTCCTGACATGGCAAGGTAATAACAGTAAAACTTTCTGATTTACTATAGTACCAGAACCGAGGGTAAACGAAGAAGTGGAGCCCATCCTTGCTGTCACGACCAATCCGAATCAGAATTCTGGCTGGTGGTTAGGTACATCTCTCCTCGAAACTGGTCTGTCCAATATATAATTATATATACAAATTAAACCTCTCGCGACATCCATCCTGGGCTCAATCCAATGCCATTGAGCCAGTCCAGTGAACTTTATTTGAAGTTAGTTTCAGACGATTTTGAAGCAGGGATAAATTCTGAGGCAAGACATGCTCGAGGACTTTAAAAATCTGAGTTGACATATTTGTATCTTAGGGGGTGTTTGGATGAAGCCAAACCCTAGTTTAAAGAATAGTTTCTGGAGAATAGATTTTAGAAGAATAGATTTTGTAAAAAAGTGATTCTAATAAAATGAGAGTGTTTGGATAATTGCTATCAGAAGCACTTTTTATATATACAAATTACTAAAAAGGGCATAAATTAATATGATAATTACATAAAAGATAGATTTTATAATATATTTTTATTGAAGTAATAATTTTTAATAATATATTTTTTTGCTAACACAATAAATAATATATAAAAAACGTAATTAATAAATAATTAGTATTTATATATGTATTTATAAAATATAAGATTAAATATGTTTTGAAAAAATATTTTTTTTTGCCAACAGAAAAATATTATTTTACCTTAAAGATTTTAAATATGAAATCCCATAATATTTTTTTCACAATTAGTTTTTTTTAACAATATACTAACTCCGGTCTTTAATATAAGAGCTATTTTGATATTCAATTTGGTCTTAAATATAAACCCCAATCCATTTTATTTATTATATTTATTTATTTTTTTAAAGTAGTCTTTTTAGTAATTATACATATTAAATATTTCATCAAATGGTACTTCTAGCAAATACATGTGATTAGAATGGATATTTTAGGGAAAACAATACCTATTTATTACAAATAGTTAACTTATCTAATTTTTTTAATCTACTCAAATTAATTACCTAACTCTTATATTAAGGATTGGAAGTAGTATTATAATGTGAAAAAAAAGGACCACATTTTTAAAAAGCAACTTTTTTTTGCTTTTTCATGAAATCATGGTTTGGGAGGCCAAAACTTTGGTTTTGGACCAAACCAAGGTTTCCTGAAAAATCAGCCTGTTTGGATAATCCCTGGCCAAAACCATGGTTTAGGGTGGAAAAGCACTTTTTTTTGAAATTGCCAAACACCCCTTAGGTTTGGTGAGATCACAGGGCGCAAGTGAGAGTAATTCATAATGTAGCAGAATAGGCTTGGTTGGTACTTGGTATACTCAGAAGTACCAGCTTGGTGCAGGGAAGGCTTTTGGCGTGATAAAAGCTCAGTGGCGACGAGTGGCCAAGGGATTTAACTGATGTTAATTCCTTTCGTTCTCTAATTTTCAAGCTTTAGCTTGCCGTTTTGTACTCAAAAAAGAATAGGCTTGGTTGGTACGTACTCGTGGGGAATCGGAAGGCAAATAGTAACAGTTTGAGGTGTTTTTTTTTTTTTTTCATTTTTTCCCCACCATGCTAGGATGAAGAATGCACATGGGGTTTGACATCAGTTACATGGAGGCTTCGTCTCAGTTCTGACAGATAGGTTTTGAAGTGTACGTGGGGGAAAAGACGTGGCCCTTGACCACAAGCATCAGATACGAACCCCCCACCGCCATCAGCAGCGTATACTTCTTCCCTTTCTTCATTTACCTATTGTTAGCTCGCCAAGTCCTTCTCATTGGAAATATTGTACATTTACCCCCATTCACGCCATAGTGACAGGCAGGAAAAACTAAGAACAAAAGAGTTAGAAACACGTAAAGTGAAAGATTTGAGGCCTCACTTTATAGAGAGTTGGAGGATTTTGTGCCTTTTCCTTTTCTGTAAAATTTGTTGCATGTGAGTGGCAGAGAAGGAGAGAAAGCAGAAAATCTAAATTTGCGTTCCAAGTTACTTCCATTTGGTCTTGTGACTCCCAATTCCGTCGCAAATTACTCTTCCGGTCCTAAATGTAAGACCCTTATACACACTAGTATAAGGGTCTTACATTTAAGACCGGAGGAGTAATTAGCACGTGAATGCAAACAAAATGCATCCAACTAAATGACTGGAATATATCTTCTTTTTTGGGTGACCAACTAGAATATATCTTCGTCCAAAAGAATAGAATTTGCTCCCTTTATATTTAAAACAAATAGAAACAACGTACAGGCCTCCACTGTGGAATCAAACTTAGATCCCCTCTTTTATCGGCAAGTTAGTGCTGGTTTCGTTTAAAGCGACATGCCATTATGATATCACATCTCACTCACATGTACTTATTATTAGTGTGTTGTCTAGTTATTAGTTTCTTAATCAGTGCAAACGTTACATTTTTCCGATTTTTGCATCCATGAACCATATGTTGTAACAATTGGCTAAAAGGAATTGATTAATTGGTGCGTACATGAGAAAAATTGCTTTGAATGGTTCAAGGAGTAAAAGCTTTAAAATGTGTCGGAAAATTACAATTCAGGGTCTATAATTAAAGTTTTTTAAACTTAGGTTAGAGTCTTTTCATAACAACTTTTTTTATGATACCAATTGAATTTCAATAAGTTGTATATCATGAATCTTAAGTGATCTGGTTGAATAAAGTCAGATTATATGAATGCAAAGTTTTTGAGACAAAAACACTATTTTTTTTTCCTTCTTTCTTCTAGACTTCTACACACGCACATATAATTAGCTGAGTTTTCCTTTATATCTTTAAGGTCCTATTATAGCGAGCGAGAGAGAGAGAGTGTGTGTGCGTGTGTGTGTGTTTTTTTTTGGGGGGGCGGGGACAGTACTGACACGGGCAATACAAAATCTATCAGAGTTCCCACTTCGTCTTCCGCCTCTCAGAGCACGCACATTTTTCAAATTTGAGTTACCTAGAGACGACAAAATTAGGGTAGTTGCCACTTAATTAATTTCAGGCTGACTAAAGATATTGTGCCCTTGATCAGAGGCAAACTATATACTATCGTCTTGTGAAGCTATAATCCATCACAATCAAATAAAACTAACAGTTAAAAAAAGAACAGAGAATATAAGTTTTGAGAATTTCGCTGCTGGCAATTAATGATGAATATTTCTTCCATCATATATGTTACCCCCAATCCTTAATATATGAGTTAGATAACTAATTTAAGAAAATTAAAAAAACTGATTAAATTGGTTAATTATAATAAGTATGTATTGATTTTCTTAAAATATTCTCTTTAATCATGTGCATTAAAATTATTTCTTAATAAGAACTCCTTACCATTAATAGGGATGTTTTAGATAATGCACTATAAATTTAAGAGATAAAATGGATTAAAGTTTTATATTTAACTAACTCTTATATTAAGGAATAGAGATGTATATCACTAAAACAGAGGCCGGTATTGTTCAATATTTTTCATGTATGGTTTACCTCTAAAATTAACTAGCTCCCATGAAGCGATTTGAAACGCAAAATCCTAAGGACGTATGCAAGTATAATTTTCCTGACATTATGACAAAACCATTTGATTAAATGAGAATTCGACGATTTTATATGTTCTTCTAATACACAGGCAGGCGGGCAGTTAACGAGGCTAAAGCGCCCCCATTTTGGACCGAATGGTCTGGATGGTACTTATAAACAAATTAAAAAAACAAATAAAACACCAAAGGCAAGAAAATCATACAAATTTTGTTTGGTATGGGAAAAAAAAGAATAAACCAAATAAAAAACAATGATGAAAACAATTATTTCGTATATAAGAAATACATATATTACCTTCGATCCTAAATATAAGATCTCATTTTTAAACTGCAAATAAGGTCTTATATTTAGAACTGGGAGATAGTATATAGTGTGATACTTAATAAAAAATTAATAAAAATATCAGTTAATATCAATTAATAACACCCAAAAAATTAAACAAGCACCGATCAAGCATGCAAAATTTGAAATGGTGATCCAATCCACATTTATTAAGCACTATTGCAACTCGATCAGACGATTGATAATTGGATTGACGCACCTTCAATTTCATCATACGAACAGGCGATTATATATATATATATATATATAGATATTCTATATACATATGTATATGTGAAAAGATGAGCTATTTGTATATATGATGGAGAAGAAGCATGGGTCTGTGAGACTTGAAAGCAATTCTTGCACATTACGAACCTTACAAAATGCAGAACTAATTAGATTAATCTGCAGACTTAATTAATTTGTCAATAGTTCTTCTTTCTTTCTTATTACCTTCAGTCTTTAATATAAAAGTTAGTCGACTAATTTGAGTATATTAAAAAAAATAGTTGAGCTAATTATTTGTAATAAATATATGTTGTCTTCTCAGATACTCTTGCTAATAATATGTATTAACCAAAATTACTATTTGATATATGAAACCTTTAATACTATGATGACTAACATGAAAAAAAAAAGAAGAGAGAAACAATAGATTGTAATATTATATTTAAGACTAAATTGAAAATCAAACTAGCTCTTATATATTTGTTTTTTTTTCCTCCTACACCGGAAGCTAATCTTTCTTTGTTTTAACGAAACTACTGCTTGTATCTTTATCATATATATGGACAGGGACTACTGCGACATTACTACAAAAAGCTATAGTCAGCTCCCATTTGGAGACATACCTAGGCCACACGAGGTCATGACATATATGGATACTAAATTTGCTGTTGTCTATGTAAAAATGAAAAAAAACTTTCCTTCAACTTTTAACTACCCTGCTCACTCCTTGTCTCCTCTACTACATCTCCGCAATGTTAAGTTACAATTGTTTTCTTAACCCAATTAATGGTTAGGGAAATTTTGTTCCTTTTTTTTAAAAGATTTATAGGGCGACATTAATTCAACAAAAATTTCTAGATATATACCCACATCTCCCACGAATATATGTGCGTGTAGTATAACTTCTATTCGCAAATTATCTTAATTATTTGTTTAAAAATAGACTATACAAGGGAATATTGTTTGAGCTTTAGTCGTCTTGCCATAAAGTCAAGTCTACTTGACACGTAAAATCATCGTCCAAACCTAAACCCAAGGCCCTCCGGCAGATAGAAGGAGGGCTAAGAAGCAGACCCTCGGCCATATGATCTAACAGGCTCGGCATATTATACAATGCCTCCTCGTCCAAGAACAAACTTCGACACTCATCACCACCTTCACTATTGCTCTTTTCCTTTTCTTCAACTGAGAAAAAAGGCTCTCTAATGTTCTGATGAGCATTTGAGGAGGTTGGTCGGAAAGCGTGGGCGGCTTCGGCCGCAGCTGCTCTGATGTCCTTGGCGGAGGATGAGGTGGCGACCGGGAGGAGCCAAGCTGAGTCAGGGAAATTGAGAGCAGCCGAGCTGCCTCGGAGAGCCAGGGCAGCCACGTCGTGTGCCCTAGCCGCCATTTCTGGATTAGGGTAAGTGCCGAGCCAAATCCTGGACTTCTTTTTCGGTTCCCGGACTTCACAAACCCACCGGTTACCGTTCCTTCGCCGGACACCTCGAAAGAGAGGATGTCGAGTCTCCTGAAATTTCTTTCTTCCTGCTTTCCTCTTATGAGATGCAGGAGGGCTAGGGTTTCGTGGTGAGCATGAAGAAGATCCATTCTTAAAGTCCATGACAAGAGAGCAACGATCGAGAGGCCAAAACGAGGTTTATAATTAATTATTTCAATGGTGTTTAGTTGGGGAAAACCGTGGAAGAGTGAGGGATATATATATAAATCCCGAAGGATCAGCGTGCGACACGAAGGGTGTGATACGAAGAAGGATCTAACTAAGGCTTTTTTTTTTTATAAAAAAAATATATATATAGTCAGTTTCGTTGAAGGGGAAAAAATCATATCAAGCACGTGGGGATTCTAATTACTAATTAGGCCCACATGATAACGAAAAATGACAAACCTTCGCGTGCGTGAATGCATGTACACATATAATCATCAGTGGGAAAACACAGACACATAAATTTATGGTGCTACCGTGGAAAATACTTTATTTGAAGATAATGATGGTGCAAATACATTCCGTGCTTTTAACCCAACTCAAGCTGAAGAAACTTGTTCAGTGGTCACTGCTAACCGCTTTGGACAACCATAAGGTAAGGACCACAGGGCTATTGAATTTAACCACTTTAATTCTTTTATCTGAAATACATGTATCATACCCTTATTAATTTGTATATTCGATATTTATATTTACACAAATATATATAATAAAGAGCCGGGGCACTATCCAAAACTTGAAATGAAACTGATCAGTATTGTAATTGCAAAGAAAACTAAGTTCTTTTTTTTACTAGAAAGATATAAGCTCTTGTAAAGGCTCCATCCTCGATATTAATATAATGTGATCCGTTTGGATGGAAAGGAAAGTGGGGAAGAAAAAAATAGAAATGAGAAAATTTTGGGGAGAAAATATTGTCATTCTTCTCGTCTGGAATGGCAAAAATATCTTTCTATGTAAAATATATCATGTTTAATATTAAATTAAATAACACAATGAAAAAAGTCATATTATTATTAAAATTAACATCATCAAACAATTTAAAATCAAATTATTTGATAAAGATTTATTTTTGTTGTTGTTATGTTTTCAAGCGAAATAAATTAGAAAAATGTTATTTTTCAAGGTAGAAAATCATGAGTGGATGGTGTTTTTTTTTATTGCAAGTAGACATGATAAAAGAAAATAGATAAATGAAAGGTGGAGTACATCAACGGAAAGGAAAGTGAATTTTCTTCTTATTCGCTTTCTCTATATGCAGAGAGAAAAATTGGGGATAAGATGGGATGTGTCTCATACCTCTCTTTCTTTTTTTTTGAACTTTGCTTTTCTTCTATTTTTCCTCCTCATTCAAACTCGGAAAACTCCACTTTTTCCCCCATTTTCTTTTATTTCAAGCTGGCTTGTTTTGGCATTGCCAGACTGATTTTTAATTTGTGTCATAAAAAGTCACCTTGGCCCAACATATTATGGTGTTTGGAATGACTTCTAAAAAGAGTAAAAAGAGCTTTCAAATCAGAAGTCAAGTTGAAGCTAGAGTATGCTGGTCAAAAAAAAGAAAAGTTGAAGCTAGAATAGTTTTTTCTGACTTTAAGCCTTTATTTAAATTTCAACCTTATGAAACTGACTTCTTAATATATGGTCCAAATAAGTTTTTGTTAAGCTTGCTTTTTGATAAAAATCTATTCAAACATGAATTATATTATATTAATTAATAAAAATCACTTTTATCAGTATAATTCAAACCAGTTTTATACATCTTTTCACACACTGCCACTGAACGTGTTTAGTATGAAGGAGAAAAACCCCAGGTCAATATTTTCACACTGGACGGATGTTTCTAGTGTCATCGGTTATCGAGCTACACGCTCTTTCTATATCTCTCATGCGCTGAAATTAATGAAACCAATTAAGCTTCAAATTATCATCATATACATATGCTTTTATCGTTAGTTTGAACCATTATACTGATGTCTGTTCACACCCTATTCTATTTTTTGTCTTTTCAGCTAGCTAATTAGTCCCAACTGACATCAATATATCAATATCAGTATTAATATTAAATTTCTATTATGTAATATATTATTTATTTTATAAGTATCATGTGACTTGTTTTTTAAGGGCTTGATTAGAGTTTCGTTCAGATTTTTAAGCAAGTTCACATAAACTGAAACAAAACTCTCCTCACATACTTATCTTGTATTCCGTAAATGACATTTGAAAAACTACTCATAATTCAATACAAATAAGGGGGTGTTTGGATAAAAACCAAACTATAGTTTCAGAAGTGCTTTTACGGTTTACGAAGTAAATATGTGGAGGAATTTACCTCGTTTTACAGAAAAGTACTTCTGAAACCATGATTTGAAGGTTGCCGAACACCCCCTAAGTCTAAGTTTTGCAGACCAGCCTACTTTTAGATTCAGTCTAAGACTTTGAGTTTAGCTAGACGTCTCACCCCACTTGTAAACTGTATGCACCACATCCAGAGAAAGAGAAAATGAACTGATTCTGTTATTATAATTCGCGTCTCATTGCTGGTTAATTTATCTCTTTTATTGCTTGCTAGTTCCTCTAATTTTCATATAAAGCTGCATCTTCGATTTTTTTTTTGGACTATTACTTTATGCAATCTTCTTCCTACAAATGTATTGAATGTTTGTTAAACTAACATGAACATACAAAATATGCTGGGTATGGAATTTTCTTTTTAATAATAAAAGGTTAAGGCGAGTTGTGGTGAGGTTCAATATGGCTGAAATTAACATATCTCCGGCCTTAGAGCGCTGATTTTTACATGTGTAGTTACAGATCATGTGCCAATAAAATTCTTATGTCAGTTGTGGGATTTGAGCCAATAGCTTTATGACTTATAGGATAATAAATCCTTACTACTTAATTAGACCAGCTTTTATTGGGGCGGCCATGAATTTCCCTTATATCATGCAAGGCCTCTTGATTATTCGTATATATAGCATGCCAACAAGTTAATTTGATCTTAAATCTCAGTTGATTGTCCGTTTATATAACAGCGACCAATATACCAAAAGTTGAACTTGTTATAATGTCTAATCGCATCCGATCCCTTGAAGTTACATTGCAATTTGATTAACATACAGTTGCACATGGATTAAGGCAAGTACCACAAAACTTAATTTCAAGTATAAAGTATACCTAATTAATTTCCTTCAAAACTTAATTAGTTACCACAAGTGTTGCACCAGATCGATCGCAGATTGGGAATTTGAAAAAAAAAAAGAAGAAGAAGAAAAAAACAGTTGGAGACATCAAAACACAAGGAAAATTCTAATTTCTTTCAAAGTTCTCGACTTCCACTGGCGACCAAAGTTTTGCCACGCAAGTAAGCAAATTTATTAATGGAAACAAACATATATAACTGCAATAGAATTCAATGAGGAGGTTCCTGCTGCCTTAAAAATTACCACGTCATTCTTTCTTCCCTATTCCATGGGACATATTATAAATCCCTTTTCCCTGCATACAAACAGAAAGCCCATGATAGAGCATTTTAAGCAAGACATGTATTTGTAATTAATTCACAAGAACAGACTAGATGATAAGTTGGATTATGATGAAGACCAGATCATGAAGAACCATGCATGATATCAAAGTTGAAACAAATAACTTACAATCAGGAAGATTGAAGATGCTGCCAGGGCAAGGGGTATTGCCACAGAAGTGATCTTATCATTTGGTCCTTTCAGGTGGGTGTATTTACGGATATTTTGGAAATATTTCTGCTTCTCAGTAAGCTTCTCTCTTGGTCTGAAGGGTAATTCTGACATCCTGCTTCACATATATATCATCAATGGTGACAAACTCTTAACACAAGAAAACATGTCATGGCATGGAATTAAATAAAACATATATATAATCAAATTTGTATCTCATGAGATGAGTATTAATTAAAAAAAAAAAAAGAAAGCCTGAACTCAAGCTATAAAATATCCAGCACCCTGATAAAAGGAATGTGCCCAGAAAAGAGAAAATATAGAAATATTTGTAGAACCAAACCAAGAAATCCCAAATTAGATTCAACTATCCAATCATAATTAGTCTGAACGTGCCTGTCCTGTTAAGCAATAATCCAAGTTTAAAACAGAGATGCACGCACGGCCAATTCATAAAAGACCCTAGGGACTGAGGCTACCCAGATCACGATGCTTCAATTTAGAGCAAAATACAGCTTAACAATGCACCATAAGGAACACCCCGAAAAATCAGATCACGACCCCGTTGAAGGGCCGATTCGAAAAATAAACGGAAGATTACATTACATTTAAACTGGATGTCAGGAAGATCAAACTGATCGACGTCAGAAAGTGCATATTGGCAGACGATATGGATCACTGATGGAAAACAAGTCATCATGAGAAAAAAAAAAAAGGAAAAGGAAAAAGTGCAGTGAAGAGATCAGGAAATTGCGTTATCGATATCGCAACAAATGTACACAAAGAGAAGCTTACTTTGAATGGAGGTAATGGACTTGAATTCTCACCGGTTGCTGTCGATTTGCGAGGAAGAAAATAGAGAAAAGGACGGCTTTCTAATTCTTCATATACAGCGTCATTCACGGGGTAGTGATTACCAAATTATATTGAAGGATCTTTAGAAGTCAATATTTACTATGAATGACCACAAAGATTATGGAATATTAATATCGAAGGATTAAAGGATTAAAAAATATATACATAAATATTATTATACCCTAAACTAATATTTTTGGATAAAAAAACAATGCTTGATAAAAAAAGTAATGAGGATGCATGAAGGAGCGGGCCGAATGTTTTCGGGTTTATATGAGAGATGGGGCTTGGGAGACAAAAAGCAGTCTGCAAAGAGACGAGAACACTACTAGAGAAAAAACATTTAACGTCGCAAAATAACGGCGGTTAAGAGAAAAAACGCCATGGAAAAAAAGACGGTGGCAATTTTGTAAATAAATGGAATAACTCTTGATTTTCCACGGCGGTTACTTGGAAAACCGCCGTGGAAAGTTCCAACTTAAACCCTACGGCGCGTTCTAGTTCTCTTATTTTCACAGTCTTGACTTAGTGCACCGTAATCCCCCTTTGTCCCACCACCAAAAAACTTCCATTACCGACCATTCCTTCCACTGTCCCGCAGTTTAAACTCCTCCATTTTGCTTGTGTGGTCTTGCCGCCGCCCGCCGCCGCCGCCTGTCGCCGTGGAGTCGCCCCTCTTTTCGCATTGAATCATCTCTATTATGTGAGTATCCTCTTCTTTCATTCTCTTCAATTTTTTTTGGTTTCCTGGATGTTTTGGCCGTTAAAATCCGTTGTATTTCGAATGGGTTTGTTAGTTTTACATTGTGGTTGGCTTACATTGTCGATTTTGCATTTTTTATTTGGTTGAGTTGTTGATTGGGGACATTGGATGTGAGAAAACCTCAATTCCTTCTTATGTACGGTATTAGAAACATGTTTAAAATTTTGAAGTTGATTAGTTTTGAATTTTTTGATTTTTTAATAATTTTTTGATATTTATTTCGAATTTTTGGTAAATTTTTTGAAATAAATTTCATAATTTAGTAATAAATAATCTGTTAATTGTTTTGTGCTTTTTTTTTCGTTATGAACTTTGATTGATGATAAAGTGTTGTTTAAAATTTCATTATAAATGGATATTGTTTGTGTTCCTGTTTTGTATTCAGAAATTTTAGCTTTAAGAATCTTTATTCATTGAATTGGTTTGAAATTGAATTCTTATTTTTTTTATTTATTATATTCTTTAAATTTATCCTATTTTTAATTTTTGTTACATTGTTATATTGGTTTGATTGATTTGTTTAATTTTGTATACAAATTTAAGATTTGTTATAGGAAAAATTAGATTGAAAAATTATACGAATTTTTTATTTTTAAAAGGGAGACATTCCCTTTAATTTGTAATTAAGTGTTAGTCAATTTTAATTTATTGACTAACATTTAATTATTTTATTATTTCAATATTTGAATTGAGGAGTTACAATTGAGCTTGACAACTATGTTCATTGACTCTGTAGAACAATGGATCGTAGTTGGATGAAAGCTAAGAGAATTAGCAAAGAATATGAGGATAGGGTTGAAAGGTTTCTTCAGTTTGCTCAGAGAAATGCCCCTAATCAAAGAGATGGATTATATTATTGTCCTTGTGTCAAATGCCTAAACAATAGTTGGAGGAGTATTTCTGAGATAAAAGAGCATCTTATCTGTGATGGGATAAATTTGAGGTATACAAATTGGATATGGCATGGAGAAATTAGAAAGACTACACTATCTGGAAAGGAGAAGGTTGTGAATGAAGACTTTGGTGATAGAATTTCGGATATGTTTCATGACATAAGGTCTGAATCTTCTACACAGTTCTCTTCCACTTTCGAAACTTTGTGTAGTGATGCAGAAATGCCTTTATACCTAGGGTGTAAAGATGATTACACAAGGTTGACAACCGTGTTGAAATTGATGAACTTGAAGGCAAAAAATGGTTGGACCGATGCTAGTTTCACGGAATTACTTGAACTGCTGAGTGATATTCTTCCAAAGGGGAATTCACTTCCGAAACGAATGTATGAGGCAAAAAATTTTTTGTGTCCTATGGGTTTGGAATATGAGAAGATACATGCATGCCCTAATGACTGTATATTATTCAGAAATGAGTATGAAGGGTTGAATAAGTGCCCTAAATGTGAGACTTCAAGATACAAGGTTAAGAAAGATGGTGGTGATTATAATGAGATGACCAAAGGTTCTCTTTTGAAGGTTCTGTGGTATCTTCCAATAATACCACGATTTAAGCGTCTATTTGCTAATGCCACAAAGCAAAAACTTGAGATGGCATTTCGATGAGAAAATATGTGATGGAAAGCTTCGTCACCCAGCAGATTCTCCTCAATGGAAAACAATAGATCAAAAATTTCCTCAATTCAGTAGCGAGCCAAGAAACCTTCAGCTAGGTCTTTGTACGGACAGAATTAATCCATATGGTAATCTTAGTAGCACACACAGTGCTTGGCCGGTGCTTCTCGTAATTTACAATTTGCCTCCTTGGTTATGTATGAAAAGAAAATATATCATGCTATCTTTGATGATCTCAAGGCCAAAATAGCCGGGAAACGATATCGATGTGTGTTTGACACATTTGATTGAGGATCTGAAAAAATTATGGGTGGAAGGTGTTGATGTGTTTGATGCATATAAACAAGAGACCTTCAATTTACGTGCTATGATCTTCACTATGATAAATGACTTTCCAGCATATGAAATTTGTCAGGATACAGTGTTAAGGGGCATAAAGCATGCCCAATATGCGAAGAAGGCATCCACTATAGGCAACTTAAACATGGCAGGAAGATGGTATACCTTAGTCACAGAAGGTTTCTTAGTCGGTATCACCCTTACCGTAGATTGAAAAAGGCATTTAATGACTCACAAGAATATGAAATGGCTCCAAGACCATTAACTGGAGAAGAAGTTTATCAGCGGGTGGAGGAAATTAATGTGGTCTTTGGTAAGAAGAAGAAGAAGACTGCCGGTGAGAGGAATATATGGAAAAAAAGATCTATCTTTTTTGATCTTCCATATTGGCATAGTCTTGATGTGAGGCATAGTCTAGATGTGATACATGTGGAGAAGAATGTGTGTGAGAGTCTTGTTGGTACACTTTTACATATAAGTGGAAAGACTAAGGATGGAATCAATGCAAGACGTGACTTAGCCGAAATTGGAATAAGAAAACTCCTCCACCCACAAGAAAGAGAGGGTAAAAGGGCTTATTTATATCCAGCTGCGCACACATTATCAAAAGCAGAGAAAACAAGTTTCTGTGGTTTTATTAATAACCTTAAGGTGCCACAAGGTTATTCTTCTAATTTGAACAAACTTGTTTCAATGCATGATTTGAAGATAACGGGGATGAAGTCTCATGATTGTCACGTGTTGATGCAACAATTACTTCTACTTGCTATTCGAGGCATTATGAAAACCGATGTGAGAAGTACTATTACGAGAATTTGTATGTTTTTTAGCGCTATTTGTAGCAAAGTCATTGATCCTGCTGAGTTAGATGAATTAGAAAATGAAGGTTATGTAATCCTCTCCCAATTGGAAATGCACTTTCCTCCCTCATTTTTTGATATTATGGTCCATTTGATAGCTCACCTTGTACGAGAGATAAGACTTTGCAGTCCTGTGTGTTTAAGGTGGATGTACCCATTTGAGAGATACATGAAAATTCTAAAAGGGTACTCTAAGAATCCTTATCGGCCTGAGGCATCAATTGTTGAGAGATATATAGCTGAAGAGACAGTTGAGTTCTGCAATGCATATCTTGATAAGGTAAAGACAGTTGGACTTCCTCAATCTCGGCATGATCAGGGGAGAAGCAAGGGAACACGGGGTGTCATAGTGAGGTCTATGTCAAGAGATGTTGTAATGCAGGCACATCTATATATTTTAAACAACACGGATGAAGTTTTGCCTTACTTGAATGCTCACAAGAATATGTTGAAGAACTTGAATCCAAGAAAGAACGATATGCAACTAGCCAACGAGCATAACAAGTCATTTGCCGAGTGGTTCAAGCAACAAGTGTTAAAGGATGGTAATCCTTTTGAAACAATACAGAGACTAGCTGCAGGGCCTCGTTTTGAGGTTGTGTGTTGGGGCGGATATGACATAAATGGTTATTCATTTTATACAAAAACCCAAGATGATAAGAGTACCATGCAGAACAGTGGGGTGATGGTAGTAGCTGAAGCAATGCATTTTGCTAGTTCAAAAGATAGAAACCCAATGTTAGCGTCAATATCCTATTATGGAGTAATAGAAGAGATATGGGAGGTTAGCTATACCAAATTTAAAGTTCCCGTCTTCAAATGTAAGTGGGTTAATAATAGTGCTGTGCAAGTTGATGAAGAATTTGATTTTGTTTCAGTCGATCTTGAGAGGATTGGATATGGAGATGAGCCATTTATTTTGGCAAATCAAGCAAAACAAGTGTTTTATGTTATCGATCTAGCAAAAAAGAAATTATCTATTGTGCTCCAGGGTAAGAGGCAAGGAGTTGGTGGAGATGACGGTGACTCAGAGGTCAATCTTGACGAAATCCCGCCTTTCACAGTTACTCGACCTAAAATTACTGAATTAGATTTGGTAGATGATGACTATGCGGTTAGGGATGATCATTGTGAAGGAATTTGGGAGGATAATCGTTGTAAGGCCTTTCACAGCTAATGTGATTTTTTTAAAAATATACTTGATGTTTTATACGGGACTTATTCTAATATTTATTGGTTGTTTGTTGAACAGGAAATGGATGGATCTGATCAACAAGGTTCTGGAGATGACAACTCCTTCCATAGAGCGAAAAGAGGTAGAGGGCCAACCCGTATGAAGAAGTTGGCCTTACGTGATGAGAACACATAGCCCCCGAGGATTGTAGTACACTTTGACGCTGATTTGAAAGCTATAGGTCCTGAAGGGGCTAAATTTACTAGTTATGTGGGCTATCTCGCACGCAGTAAGATTGGGATTGACATTCTTAATTGGAAGATGGTAGATAAAAACTTAAAACAAAATTGGGAGGATATTTTGGTACGTTACGAATTCTTTTCTTTATTAGTGTTAATTATAATTGATTATTTGCTTATAACTCTATTGTATTATATTGCAGTTGACATTTGATATTCCCGCAATGAAGAAATGAGAGACCGTTTGTATAAGCAACTCGATGACCGGTGGAGGGATTTTAAATCCACGCTTACAAGAGAGTATCTTCGTGGAAAAAGAAAGGGCGAGCATCCTAAAGAACGATACTCTTTTATTAGTGACGAGGCAAGGGAGAGGTTTGTGCAGCAACGTCAAGACCCTGCATTTCAGGTTTGGTTTCTTCAAACTTAGTTTTTTATCAATTTATATTATATTTAACTAAACTAACTTTGTTAAATTTTTATTGTCATAGGCACTAAGTAGGAAGAACAAGCAAATATCTGAGCTGAATGTGTACCCACATACCATGTCTCGTGCAGGGTATGGTGGGTTGGAAAGAAGTATGATGGAGGAGCGGCAAAAGAGTGCAGAAATGGCTGCTGCTTCAGATCCTACTGGAGTCATTCCACCTATCGACCGTCCTTCTCGCCAAGAAAAATGGAAGGCGGCGAGGATTAAAAGGGGTCAATATCTCACTCCAGAGGCTGCTATTGTTGCTGAGAAAATTGTAAGTAATATTAGCATTATGCTTCATTAATTGTTTTTTTAATTATGTTAAATTGAAGTTGTTATTTTAATGTTACAGGATACACTTGAGGAGCAATTATCCCAAGGTACATTTGTTCCTCATGGGCGGATGGATATCTTGGCCACTGCCATTGGAAAGGCTAACCATCCCGGCAGAGTCAGAGGGGCCCCTAAAGGAATTGGCATCAAACAATTTTTTGGTCCTGGTTCTCGAAAAAGTACTGGATCATCCTCCGCTGACATGGTATCTAAAGAGGAACTCGACCGACGATTACAAGAAGAAACGGAAAGAGTTCGAGTTCAACTCAGTGAAGAACACAAGGCAGAGATGCAAAAGATGCGTGAGGAGTTTGATGCCAAGTTTGCAATGATGATGGGCACGACCGGATTCCAGATGCCCCGAGTGTCTGAGCCGTCACAGGTAATAAAGGTTCATTTCGTCAATTTAAACTTATATAATGTGCCTTAAGTAATTTCTTCTTATATTTTAGGGTTCACCTATGATGAAAAGTGGGAAGGGCAGTAATAATCAGACACAACAGCTGACATTATCTGACCCTAACCCTAGCCCTGACCCTGTCCAAGACAATGGAACACCGTGTTCTCTCTATGTCGACGTTAATGGAGATTCGACATTTCATGTTGCTAATGGCCGAGTATTCTCGGGCTCAACGATCCACGGGAAGAAAGTTCCAGTAGATCAATAGAGGGTGACGGTGGATAAAATCCGTAGCGGTCAAGGTGATACACCAGTGCCCATCCCTACTGATGAGGTTCGCCTACTGGTTCAGGCTAAAGGAAATTTCATTCTGTGGCCAAAACGACTTATTGGAAAGCCTACACCATCGAAGAAGGCGACAACAAAGAAGGCGACAACGAAGAAGACGGCAAGTAGCGCTTCAGAACCTGTCCTGCTGCCTCTTCCTGCTGATATTGGGGTTATGTATGGGAGTTTGGAGCTTCTTCATAGCATGGTAACAAATATGGAAAACTCTCTTACTTATAATATGCCGCCGGGAATTGTGGGTTCAGATGTCACATACCAGTTCACTATTGACAAGAAGGACCTCATTCAGTTCCTCAACTTTGAGGAGTGGGATATAGTCTTTATGCAGCTGGCTATTTTGTAAGTTACAATAACTAAACTAATTTTTTGTATTATACTTATGCATATTCTAATATTTCTTATTTGAACAACAGGCATTTTGTTGGAGTCTGTAGGCAGGCAGGACTTGAGGACACATATGGCTTTATGTGTCCTCAAAAGGTACAAAAAATAGCCAATACTGTGGAAGCCAGGTCGATCTACATGATGACCGCAATGACTCAGTTGAAAAAGAAAATATATTTTGTACCTTACGTGGAAAAGTAAGTATATTATTATATTTGAGATACACTTGTTATATATGTAGGATTATAATTAACATGGTTCGTATTTTGCAGTTATCATTGGACTCTAATTGTTTGCGCCCCTTTTGAAAACAAAGTCTACTGGTTCGATTCCCTCCGTGGAAGTCCAACCGAAGAAACCAAAGATGTCATTGAAACGTTAGTTTTATATATTTATTACATATAAAGTTTATAAAAATGTGTTCTAATGTTCTAATATTTGAATGTTCATAGGGCTTTTCACACTTTCAATTTTATGACCAGGCATCAAAATATGCAACCACCAACATGGTTTCTCCCACAAGTATGTTGTTTTGAGCTAAATATGTAGTTATAAATCTTTTCAATCATCAAATTAGCTAATGCTTATAAATTTTTTATTTTTTCAGTATCGTTGTCAACCTAGGAAAGTTGAATGCGGATATTATGTCATCCGTTATATCAATGACATTATTGAGACAGGGGTAACTGAAAAATTACACGAGGTAATTAAATATAACTTATGTTGCATGTAATTCTACCCATTTTTTTCACATTTTTAATCAAGTTGACTAATGAATCCATTTTTGATTTACAGGCATTCGAAAATGTTATGCCATATAGCATGGACGAGATCAATTTGATAAGAGACTTTTTGTCAACCACGTTGTTAGAGAATCTTTAAAATGTCAAGTACTAAGGTCTCTTAGCTTCCTCACATATTGGTTCATTTTTTGATTGTTAACTATAGTTGATGTTCATATATGGTAATATTCAAATAGTTTTGTTGAGATAATGCTTTGGTGTTCATCTGGTAATCTTCAAATGGTGCTGCATATATATTATTCTACCGATTTGGGTACCTAAACTACAGGGAGGTGGTAAAATATAAAATGACGAATGAAAAAAAAATATAACATTTAACGGCGGTTATTCAACAAACAGCCGTTAAATAATTTATAACGGCGGTTTTATTAAAAACCGCCGTGGAAAATATTTTATAACGGCGGTTTATTAAGAAACCGCCGTGTAAAATTTGAATTTCCACGACGGTTTTGAGATAAAACCACCGTGAAAAGTTTATTTTCCATGGCGGTTAATAACCGCCGTATTTTCTTATCCTTTCAACGTCGACTCTTTTTACTCCGACTCCAAAACCCGTTAAAAGCCACAATTAACCGCCGTTAAAAGCCATTTTTCTGGCAGTGGAACATGGTAATGACATACTAGTACGGAATAGGCTGGTCTTTTATAAGCAAATAAAGATTTAAATTTTTATTGAAAAAAAGTTCATATTCAATATTTGATAATAACTTGGATAGGATTGTTTCAAATAGAAAGATATATTTGTTTAATAAGAAAAAAGGCGTGAAACTTCAACCGGATTAAACTTATCTTCTCCAAAGTCATGTATTGTATTAATCATTAATTTTTATTTATTATTTATTGATATAAAAAAAATTGTGCCTGTGATTTTGTTATAAAATTGAACTTCTACTACTGTTAATTAAAATAATATCATGCACTTGACAAAATTTAAATAAAACTAAAATTTCAATTAAATTTAAATATGAGGCAGGGCTTGCTCGTATTGCTGCCACGACGCCGCGTTCTTTTTTTAGCCTTTAACCAGAAATTCAAGAAACGACGTTCCGTTTGTAGCCCAAAGTTTATATTTTTTCGGGGCCCAAAAATAGTCTCTTTGAAACTTGCAAGATCGTCGCTGCCGCACTGCGAAGAGACGGCGGCGATTAAGCTCTGCGAATTACCAGCTGGTGATAATGGGGAGGACTAGGGGCGGCACAGTTCTGAGGTGACCGGCCACGGGGTTGCCGATATTGTAGGCATATTCTTCTTCGATATTCCTGCAGTAACCACACTTTATGTGACAATGCGCTCCAAGGACCGGATCTCTTACTTCTACGATGGTGCACATTTCTATCTTCTTTTATTCGTTCTATATCCATAAACATGAATGATAAACGACCAATTTTGCGCTGAATTATCTCTAAGAATCGAAGTCGCTCAACTTTTTGTTCATCTCGATTATATGTTTTTTTCCTACCCCCAGTTCAGTTCATTTATGTTTATGAAAACCCTAATTCTGGTTCCACGATTCTTGTATTGGTTTATTTTCTGAAAAATAGTAATCATCGAGCGAAGGAACTGTTAATAACAAGTTTTGTAGAACAGATATTTCGGTGTTTACTCAGCTAAACATCTAACACAGTTTGCCTTAGCAAATTTGTTTTTCGGTTTTTGAAACTTTCGAGAATTTCAAAGTTGTGTATGTTCCATATTACCAGTACTCTATTTGATTGCATATAGTGATGAATTTAACATTACTTTGATGAGTTATATACTCATTGTTGCCCATACGTACTATACCATGTTCCTGTATATGTTTTAATATGGAATACTTGCTTGAGACTTGATATTCCAGGTGACGTGGGCAGCGTTTACTTTGGGCCAAACCATCCAATGAAGCCTCACCGTCTTTGCATGACTCATCATCTTGTCCTCTCATACGAACTTCATAAGAAGATGGAAATTTATGTTAGTCATATTAGTTGGCATTACATTTTTCTTTCTCCTCATGTTTGTGCTTGAATAATTTACTTCGCCCCCACATCAGTAATTTTATTCTGGTTAATTGATTTTGCGTGATGCAGCGTCCGCACAAGGCTTATCCTGTTGAGCTTGCCCAGTTTCATTCAGCTGATTATGTTGAGTTTTTGCACAGGATTACGCCTGACACTCAGCATTTGTTCTCGAATGAATTGGCCAAATGTATTCTTAAATTTCTCTTTTAAATGACTTTTGTTCGTATGTGCTTTAAAAATTAATTATTTTTTAGGTCAGAAACATTGAAAGTTTTCTTGCCATGAGCATTTTCTTTCCGTCAGAGAGAGAAATATAATTTAGAGAGGGAGAAGGAACACCAGTTAATGCACAAAAACTGAAGTTTTATGCTGTATAAACTTCGATTTGATGCTTAAATGAAAGTTCCCCTGTATTGTTTTCATCTCTGCCAGATAATCTTGGAGAAGATTGCCCTGTATTTGACAACTTATTTGAATTTTGTCAGATTTATGCGGGTGGAACCATAGGTAATTTGTTTGTGATGGGATGCTCTTATACTTTGCTCATGCCTGATTGTCAGTTTGTCATATATACTGATTAATATCTACCTCCAGATGCTGCACGTCGATTAAACAATCAACTCTGTGACATTGCTATAAATTGGGCTGGTGGACTACACCATGCCAAGAAATGCGAAGCGTCTGGATTTTGTTACATCAATGACTTGGTTTTGGGGATCTTGGAGCTTCTTAAATATCATGCTCGTGTTTTATATATTGATATAGATGTCCACCATGGTGATGGAGTAGAAGAAGCCTTCTACTTCACTGACAGGTAAAGTTTTCTGGTATATTCTGGAACTGGAATAGAGTTGTAAAAGCTTCAGTATGATTGTATTCATTGATTCGGTTTATTCTAACTCTAAATACAACATCAACAGTAAGCAACCATGTTCCCTTTCTGTTAAGATAGACGGGAATCCTTTCCATCTAAAACGTTCAACTCTTTTAAGTTCTATGAAGTCACTAGGTTTTGCCACTCAGCTGCTGTTTTGGTATTGTGATACTAGTTATAGCTGGGGAAAACTTTTAGTCTCGTGATGGACTTTGCATGCTTGTAGACTGTATGCATCTAACAACGTTTCCACACTGAGCATACTGTTGATCAAATTGTGGCGCCAAATAGATCATGTTAATGTCCTTTTTATCATATTGAATTTTTATATTTCTTGGTTCCAGCTTTGCTTGTAATATCAAAAGTGAAACGTTTTTCAGTCAGTAGATGGAATTTTTTTTCTTACGTGTACTGATACGTTAATTTTTCCATACTTCTCATGGACTTCTCAATTACTTTAAATGGTGAAGTTTGTCATGACAGGGTAATGACCGTTAGTTTTCACAAGTATGGAGATATGTTCTTTCCGGGAACTGGTGATGTCAAGGTGATTTCTTTTACTTCCCTATTTGTGGACTTCTGGTAGTTGGGTTTAAAATGTCAGTACCTGGATCTTATTATTAATTGCTACGGTTGAATTTTCTCCATTCTTTGAATCATACCTGCTACACTATAGACTGAAATGATATAAACTGATTTTACTGCATTGAAGGAAATAGGAGAAAAAGAGGGCAAGTTTTATGCCATTAATGTACCCCTTAAAGACGGAATAGATGATCCTAGCTTCAATCGGCTTTTCAAGACAGTAAGTTTGGTTCTGAAGTTGCCTAATGTAATAGTTAACTTGTTACTTTTGGGTTGAAGCTGTCCAGTGTGAACCTGTCTGTTTGAAATTTTATGGTGTAGATTATTTCTAAGGTTGTTGAAATATATCAACCTGGCGTGATAGTTCTCCAATGTGGGGCAGATTCGCTTGCTGGAGACCGTCTGGGATGCTTCAATCTTTCCATTGATGGTGCTTATCTCCTATTATATCTCGTGTGCTGATTATATATACGTATCATGTGCACTCTCCTTCATAATCGCTGCCCAACTTTTATTAGTGATTGTTCAGCTATATTTGAAGATTATCTTTTGGACTCCTTTTATAGGTCATGCTGAGTGTGTTAGATTTGTAAAGAAATTCAATTTGCCTTTACTGGTGGGTTTTTATAACTTAATCCTTCGCTTCTATTCACCTATGAAATACAATAGATTTACTTGAATATTCTATCACAGGTCACTGGAGGTGGGGGATACACAAAAGAGAATGTCGCTCGGTGTTGGACTCTTGAGACTGGTGTTCTTCTCGATACAGAACTTCCAAATGGTACCTTACGCTAGTTTTAGCTAGCAGTCAGTTCTAAAATATGTAATGCAATTCGGCCTTAAATTTTGTTTGATCCTTCTTGTTTTTAAGAGAGTAACATTGTATACCTGTTTGATCTGCGTCTTGCAGAGATCCCTCAGAATGATTACATCAAATATTTTGCTCCAGAATTTTCCTTGAAGATTCCCAATGGGCACATAGTATGTACATTGCCAATTATCTTGTATCATATTGACTTCTAGTTTATATCTTGATCTTCTCCATTATAAAATTTGATTGAAAGGCCACGATCCGGTAAGAGTTGGCCGTTCCAATTGGTCTTGATATGACAAAATACACGTTACTGTGATTTAGTCCGAACCTTGTACTGTGCCGTGAAATGTCTATACAAATATACAATACATGCCATGGCCCCTTACCATTTTTCTTATTTTAAATTGATCAGGAGAATTTAAATAGTAAATCATATCTTAGCACCATCAAAATGCAAGTCTTGGAAAATCTCCGTTACATTCAACATGCTCCAAGTGTACAAATGCAGGAGGTGAGTGTGTCCCCCAACTAGATAGGCTCCCAGTACCCGCAACTTATATAGAATGAAATTGTTATTTCTTGTGGTTGTGGGTCATGTCCTGGCTTTTTTGAACATGCCACTCATTGGGCAGGGGTTATATCGCAAGCACTTGAAGTCTGGTTACGCACATTTTGAAAAATATCATGATCAAAAACCAACTTCAACCCATATGCTGATAAATCATGATGCATAATTAGTAATCTTTTCCTTCAAAAACTGACCAACGCATTGTGGGTTACAGGTCCCTCCGGATTTCTACATTCCTGATTACGATGAAAATGAGCAAAACCCTGATGAGCGCATTGATCGTAAGTGAAAAAGTAGAAGTTCTGCTTCTATTGCCCATATGCCTGCATTAACATAACACTTACTGGGCATTCGCGCTCTTGTTTCCTCACGTTGCGCAGAACCGTTTTAGCCTGTACACTTTTTATGTAATTGACGATTCTCTCTTTTCAGAGCACACTCAAGACAAGCAAATCCAGCGGGATGATGAATTTTATGAAGGTGACAATGACAACGATCATCACATGGATGATGTATGAAGTTTGCCCCAGCTTTGTGTATTCTCTTGGGGGAAGATTGAGTTATGAATATTATGAAGTTTGACTTAGGGAAGGAAATTGTAATTAGATTCAAATACTCAGTTGTTACCAAGGGTGGGAAAAAAGCAGTGGTATTTATGTGAGAAATTCTCGCTTCCGATGTATTCTTTGTAAATTTTCCCTGGAGTTTTGTTTGTTTCTTTTACGAAGGGCATTTCTCCGTAACTTGATAGATAGTGTAACTGCTGAGCTCTGCGCAACACCTCTCGTGATGGGATGTTCTGGAACCGTTTATAGTTCTATCCGTGATTCAAGGTTGATGGAAACTTTCGGAGCTCCTTTTTTTTTTAAAAAAAAAAAATCCGCCCAGAAAAATTCCATTAAAAAGAAAGAATTCAGGGGTTTATGAAAATAAAGATTTTGAACCACATGATTATCATGTAATGGTAATGGTAGTAGAGGCAATTTTTATCAATCAATTTTTCCAAAAAATATTAATAAAAAAAAAGCCACGAGGGTTTTAATAACATTGTAAAATTTTAAAATCTAAAAATGTGATTACTCATGTCAATTATTAGAGTTGTGATCAACTAAATCCGCGATCATTGAAATAAGAAGAGAAAAGTACAACTAATTAATTAAATCTGAACATATATTTAAATTTTACATTAATTATTTCGTACTCACTATAGTCACAGCCCACAGCTACTTGCACATGAATGCAGAGGGTGGAAATGGAACGTGAAATTGCACGGCAAGTCATTAATTTAAAGTCACATAAATTACTTAGGATCTCTGATAAGCAGCCGAGACTATTATCATTATTTTATTATTACACGTAAATTAATCAATGATAATCTCTGTAATTATCTATAAAATATATCGTTATATCAATTATTCTATAATCCCCATGATTTTGCCAAAATTAATTAAATGTATATCAATTATGACAAATTCAATAAACGTAAGAAACTGACAAACAGATTCGAGCGGGATTGTCAGCAGGGTGAGAAAGAGAGCGAAAAAATGCTCGAAAAATTCCTTCAATCCGTATCATTAAGCGAAGCAATCGATTTCCATTATCGACAGATTCCTCCGCGCCACATAGCTCTCGTTGCTCGTCGCAGACTCATTTCGACCATCGGAGCTGCTGGAGGAACAAGAACGAGAAACAAATAAATTTGCATTTCGTTTCATAAGCTGAACGGTGCGTTTTGGCTGAATGGAGGGCCGGGGAAGGAAGGGCTAGCGGAGGGAAGCTGACAGCCTCCACGTGACTGGGAAGTATTGGTTTATCATTTTAGATCTTTTGGATTTCCGTTTAGGAACGGAGCAAGCAGGTGATTGAAAATGAGCAAATAGCTTCCCCCTTTTTCGCCCGCTAATTAGTTGTTGATTGCTTATCACCGGTAAGAGTTCAGCATCGGATCGATCTCTGCTTATTTTCCTTTGCCGTGAACTGTTGAACAGTAGGCTTGTATCCGAAAACTTTCGCAGTTAACCAAATATTTTTTCAGGCACAACGGAAATTTATGCGTTAACGGAATTAGAATCTTCATATGCTTCCTTGGTTCTGTCTCCATTTACTTCATAATTTGTATTGCTAGGAAGCTAGCATCATGGTTCACGGATAAGTTTTGAGCTTAGTGTGTTCTGTTTTGCATAGATGCTATAACTAAATACCTAAATTTCGTGTCCCGGATGCAGTTTTGAGGTGTTGAATAATTTGAGCTCGATAGATGGCGACATCAGTACATATGCGGCAAATTTTATCGGGAACTTCCCCTCGTTTCTTCCAGTTTGAGACATGTTCCTATGATGTTAACTCTGTATGGTCCAGGTCCAACAAATCCAATTTATGTAACAGAAGAAAAAGAATTTCGGTGTATGTGCTAGGGAAAAGAAGTTCAAGAATATGCCTGACTTCCAAGAAGAGAAGTACATTAGAGGTTATAGATTCTGAATTCCATGGCATGACTGATCGTGGCCGATTAGAATCCGTTGTTTGCAATTGTCAACGGATAGACAGTGTTGGCAGCTCAGCAACTGAGGATCAAGACAATCCATGGTCCTGGGGCACGGAAAAACGATCATCAGGGTCTCTTGGTGGGAATTTCGATGGTGGTAAGTCACACGGAGAAGCTCCTGAGATTGATGCGCCAGTCGAACACACAAATGGAAGTATAATATCCAACGGAAAGTCAACTATGGATGGACTTGCAAAAGAAACATTGCACGAGGTCAGTGAGAATTCAATTGAGGATGAAGCATGGAATTTACTGAGGGACTCCATTGTTTACTATTGCAATAACCCTATTGGAACAATTGCTGCAAATGATCCAAGCAGTAGCAGCATCCTGAACTATGATCAGGTTTTTATTCGTGACTTCATACCTTCTGGGATAGCATTTCTCTTGAAAGGAGAGTATGATATCGTACGGAACTTCATTCTTTATACACTTCAGTTACAGGTAATGCCTTATTCTTTATTGATGATGCTATAATTCATCCGTTTACTACATTTGCTTGTCAAGCTAATTGTGAGCTTCTGGCAGAGTTGGGAGAAAACCATGGATTGTCATAGCCCTGGTCAAGGATTGATGCCTGCAAGTTTTAAGGTGCGGACTATTCCCCTTGATGGAGATGATTCTGTAACTGAGGACGTCTTAGATCCTGATTTTGGTGAAGCTGCCATTGGTCGTGTGGCACCAGTTGATTCTGGTTAGCGAATAGTACCATGTTATGATTCACACACGCATGCATGCGCATGCGTGCATGTGCACATGCATAGAGCATATTTATTCTACTTTTATTTGTCCTGGATCAGTATTAACAGTATATAATTTTGATACCAGGACTTTGGTGGATTATATTGTTGCGAGCATATGGGAAATGTTCCGGAGATTTCTCTGTGCAAGAGAGAGTTGATGTGCAAACTGGAATCAAAATGATTTTAAAGCTGTGTCTTGCAGATGGTTTCGATATGTTTCCAACTTTGCTGGTGACAGATGGTTCTTGTATGATAGATCGTCGTATGGGAATTCACGGTCACCCTCTTGAGATTCAGGTTAGTAGCTCCTTTCTTTATTGTTGAGTTCATTACTGAGCTGATGCTTCTTCACCCTGGACAAAGACAATTTGAGCAGTTTTTTTATTTTTGTTAAATGGCTGATATAAAATATAGCCAAATAAGTACTCGAATACTCCTTTAATGCCATCTTCTTGTTTGGTGCATGAAGTCAGTGCCTTCCATGATCAATTTTTAATGTCCTGCAGGCATTGTTTTACTCAGCATTGCTGTGTGCACGTGAGATGCTTGCTCCTGAAGATGGATCGGCTGATCTTATTAGGGCTCTAAACAGCCGTCTTGTTTCATTATCATTCCACATAAGGGAATATTACTGGATTGATATGAGAAAACTCAATGAGATCTACAGATACAAAACGGAGGAATATTCATATGATGCTGTTAATAAATTTAACATCTATCCTGATCAAATTCCCTCGTGGTTGGTGGAATTCATGCCAGCTAAAGGAGGTTATTTGATTGGAAACCTGCAACCCGCTCACATGGACTTCCGTTTTTTCTCTCTTGGGAACCTATGGTCTATTGTAAGCAGTCTGGCCACTGCAGATCAATCACATGCCATCTTAGACCTGATTGAAGCAAAATGGTTAGAGTTGGTGGCTACCATGCCATTCAAGATATGCTACCCTGCTCTTGAAGACCAGGAATGGCGTATTATAACCGGCAGTGACCCTAAAAACACGTAATGTCTTGACCAAAATCCTGCATGATGTTCTTCTCATTTTCTGCAGCTATCCTGACCTTTCATTTTCACATGCAGTGCTTGGTCCTACCACAATGGAGGCTCTTGGCCAACTTTGCTCTGGCAGGTTAGTGTTTATTAAATTATTATTGATATTTTATGGTTTCTATTATTGGGTTCAGTTCTTAGACTCGGAAGAAAACAAATCTTCAGTAAGTCAATTTCACACGTCACTGGAAATGTAAAATATAAGTTCTTTTCTGCCATGATGTTGATGCTTACTGAACTTGTGATTTGAGACTTACCAGGGAGATGATTGGCCTTGAAATATTTGGTGTTCTGTTAAATTTTCCATGTAAACTGCGTTGCTATTTTACTCTTTTTAAGTTTTTCATTCACACATCTAAACCTTAACCCTAAAAGGATGGGACATCTATATTCCCTCGCATATAAGTTTGGGTCTAGAGAGGTTGTGTAATCATCTACATCCCTTGCATTACGCTTCACATTCTTGTAATGGTATGACTGGAACCATTTCTTTCTTTAGCTGACATGTAAGTGATGGATACTAAAATCTGGTAAAAAAATGGATACTAAAGCATGATCCGATTCTTTAGGGGTAAATAGAACCAATCCAAAGAAAATTAGAATTCGTGAGTGATGCTTCAGTGTTTCAAGGGCTGCAGCTATGACAGGTATTAATTCAGGTGTGGCATAGCCTTTACTACAAATCGGGTTGACCATTCGAATATTCTTGATGATAGACCTCCCAATGGATACAGTACATCACTAGCACTTGCTACCAACCTATTGTCCCCACAATCAAAGATCCAAAATGTCATCAAAATATTTGAGATAAGGCTATTCAGAAAAAGATGTCTAGCTTCGCTAACAAAAAGAACAGATGTGATTCTCAACCAGATTTTTTTATCACTGGAGATCAGTGCTTATAGATTGGAAATTTAAGTTCTAGTTTCTGATTGATACTAGCATACGGCGTGCCAAAATAATAGTTGTAACATGAAACTGGACATATTTTCTGTGGATTAATTGACTATGGTTATGTTGCAGCTTACGGTCGCATGCATTAAAATGAATAGACCAGAGATCGCTTTAAAGGCAGTCCAGGTAGCTGAGAGACGGTTATCAAACGACAAGTGGCCTGAGTATTATGATACAAAGCAAGCAAGGCTTATTGGAAAACAGGCACGACTTTTTCAAACATGGTCTATTGCAGGATACCTTTCGGCAAAGCTCTTCCTAGCCAATCCAAATGCTGCAAAAATCCTCATGAACGAAGAGGATTCAGAGCTTATAAATGCTATGCTAAGTGCCAACCCAAGGAGGAGGGGACGGGGCAGGAAGAAGCAGAGCTTTATAGTCTGAGTTGATCTCATGATGAGTGCCAACAATAGCTTATTGGCTTTGATGATTCAGTTATGATTGTGAGACGCAATCAAGTTAGAGCGACTTCTTTATCCTTTCCTGTGTTGTGGGGCAGGTCACCTTTTTGTGTAGGTGTGTATGATGTATATGAATTTGGCTTATTTGTTTTTTTTCCAAAATTAATTGTGAAATTTAAACAGTAACAGATCGCTATATACACCTGAGTAATAGATCTTTTATTGTGTATATATCTTTTAAACTAATGGCCACCGCCATTTCATACCAAGCAGAGCATATTCTGAGAGATTTTGGCCAATTTGGTCATGCAGTCTTTTTTTTTTTTCCTTTTTAAATAAGACATTTTTTTAAACTAAATAAAACGATTACATTTAAAAGGTTTTGAGCAAAAAAGGAAATCAGACGAGAAAAATTGCCAGCCACTAAAACGAGAAAACAATACATTATAAAGGAAGTAAAAAAATTGATGTTTGGTGGCATAAATAGTATTTGCTTTTGACTTTCAGAGAGACTTCTTGATGATGATTTAATCTCCAAGAGTTTACTAAGATGGTGTTCATTTCCAGTTCGATGTTGTATTATGAAATATGAAGTAACCGCATCTCATTTCATTTTGTTTTTGTTTTTACTTTTCCAAGTTACATAAACATTAGAGCAACTGAGCAAGTGAAATTTTGGTCAATTCCGTAGGAAGAAGAGTTAAGTTCTCCTATTTCTGACTCGTAATTAAGTTTATATCTCAGATTAACCTTTGGTAATCTTAGCTCCAGATTCAAAAGAAAATCCTAGGAAGGTGTGAGACCCCCAGGGGGGGTCCAACACAATAATCAACTTCAACAGTCATCTCCAAATCTCGAGAAAAGCTGTTCAAGAATGAGAATTTTGAATATTTGTGACTTTTTAATCTGTTTTTGAAAAGTGAAAACGCATTCTGGTTGAAGGAAGTGATGCTACATATGCACATGCCAACCGGAGTTTAGACAGAAGACCAATGGAGGCAAGACCTTAAGCAAATACCTATAGCTGCCAATCGCCAGTCTACTTTTCTCAAGGAAAGAACAGCTCAGTCCCATCATTCTTGCAAATGTTTATGCTCTGCCAAAACCTCGTCCAACAATGATTCACAAGCATCTTCAAGCAAATCTAACACCTGCCATATCAATGAAAGCATATGACCAGCGCATAGGCTTAACACACACAAAATATTGTTGCACGAGTGACTACTTACCTGGATTTACTATTGCTAAAACAACTCCAGGACATGATATATCATCGAGTTTCAATAGAAAAGCTATCATTAAAATATGCTTAGCTTTTCTTTTCTTTTTTCTTTTTAAATTATAATTTACATCAGAAGGGATTGAACTTTTGGCCTCTACCTACACCCCATTTTGCCCTTGCCACTTGAAGCTAGTCCTAAGAGACAAAATATGCCTAGCGTTGATTGTAAAGTATTATTATTTTTTTGACAAAATTCAGATAAAAATCTTTAGCTGCTTACTATCAGGTTTTCATATCTGTCCTTACACAGCACTCCTTCATGTTAATTTATCACCTAGAATCCTAACACCCTTGGCGCCAAGTAGCAAATACTATTAAGACAAGCAGTCCTTCATGCTATGTCAAAATGTTCAATGGCGATTTACCAAGTAAAATTTCTCTGGAAGCATAATTTTTTTTTTCAAAATGTTTCCATACACATCAATGTAATGCTTGGATTTCTGACCCCACAAATTTTTCCAATCATACTCATGTTGCCGTTGCCCATCCCAACAATTGATGATCTGTTAGGACCTACCAGTAATTATAAATCATTACCTTCTCAAACCCTTGTGGTCCGCCATAGTAAGGATCTGGGACTTCAGTTTCATCATGTTTTTTACAATATGAGCACATCAATTTAACCTACATCACAAGTACGCACATTAAACAAGCTAATAAAAATTAGGAGCCCAGATCCAATAAAACCCTTGCGCTGACCTTCTTGTATGCATCAGCTGGCAAAGCATCTCTAGACTTCCATCTACTGAATGCCTCTAATATGTCCTCTACAACAAACAAGAAACAAAAGCCATTACACCACATAGTAAGAACTTATAGAAGAGATTGTTCAAGACAACTAGTCCTGCCCAAAGATCTGATTCAAGCTCACCTCTGTTTTGCTTGTCCATGGCAAGAATAAGATCAAAATCTCGGAAATCTGATGGTTGAATTGGCCTAGAAATGGAGGTTATCTGAATTCCTCGCCTTTTAGAGGCCGCTCTCATCCTTGGGTCCGCTTCATTCCCCTTTATCAATAATGATCATTAAATTATGCTATAAAATAGGAAAATACACAACCCAGTACAAGCTAAGTACATCAAATCATAACATTATTCAAAAGTCAAATTAGTTAAATTCATTGTGAACAAAACTATGTGGTAATTGAAGTAGATATCGCTAATATTCTGGACTTCATGAATTTTCACTGGTCACAAGTTAGTTGCAATGGTGGATGAGAATATTAAAGCAGAAGGAAACATCAATACATATATAAACCTGCCAATACAATAAAGCAATTGTTTTCTTCCTTTAGTGAACAACAATGAACGTTCCAACAAATTCGATGAGCGAATATTATTCGGAGATTCTTAAGTCCGCACTTGCCATAACAGCAGCCATATGTAACTGAGATAATTCAAGCAAAAAGAATAACACATAACACTACAGACACAATAAATCAATTTTTCCCTTCATCCGAGGATCATAGTATGAGATTTGACTAACGATAACCCACTTCATGGTAATTAATCGTGCCAGCAGAATCAATCTTGAACTTGGAATCTAAAGCCCTTTTGTTGACCAAGTGTCTGAAGACCCCTTCAGCGGCCGGGCTCCTACAGATGTTGCCGAGGCAAACAAAGAGCACAGAGAATGGCTTCGTCTCCTCTGTGCCAATGGATGAGGTAGAAGATGCCATCGATGCTTGAATCGGCGACAACCCGGAAGGAGAAAAGAGACTGTGTTTGTAGGAAATTGCAGCAGTGGGGTTTCTGCGAGAGAGGCAAGTAATCCGTGATGAAGGAATAAGAAATGGTGCGTTCGAGGAGCGGAATTGAGGACAGTGGCAAAATCGTAAATTAATAAGGTTCCCTCCGGAATTGCACAGCGTCCTCATTTCTAAAGCGGACTGTGCCTTCGCTTTTGGTGAGGGTGAGAGAGAGACCCATTTTTCCAAGGCTCCATAAATTGGTGAATATTCGGCACACGACGACAAAAAAGGAAACACCAAAGCCTTGCGTTTTACTGAAAAATTAGATCAGAGATCTTTTAGCATAATAATTTAATTACTTTTTTCCAAAAAGTATATTTATTTTTCAGTATTTATTTAAATCTTATTAAAATGTGTTAAAAATTGAATATGCATATATAGGAGCCTAAAGCCACTAATAAATTGCAAAAACTTCGTATTTTGTTAATTATTACAATTAAAAATAACTATTTGCCATTAATTAATTATTATTAATTCAAAAAAAATTATGTTATTATGCTTTACAGTATAGGTATTATAGTTAGTTTTTCTTTGGCCAACCGGTAATACTACCTCCGGTCCTTAATACTCCTCCGGTCCTTATTATAAGACCCAATTTGACTTTTTATTTGGTCCTAATTATAAGACCCAATCCATTTTCTCTCTTATATTTATGCATTTTTTTCCAAGATAATCCTTCTAATAATGATAGTTTTAGCCAATATACTTAATTAGCAAGGATATTTTAGGAATAACAACACTTATTTATTATAAATAACCAACTTAACTTACTTCCTTAATCTCCTCAAATAAGTCAATTGGGTCTTATAATTAGGACCGGAGGAGTATAAGACTATGTTTGACTTTTATTTTTGTTTTAAATATAAAACTCCAACTCACTTTATTTCTTATATTTATTTTTTTTTCAAAATAACTCTTCTAAAAATGATAGTTCTAGTCAACACACTTGATTAGTAAAGATATTTTAAGAAAGACAATACCTATTTAGGACAAATAACTAATCCAATTTACTTTTTTAATCTTCTCAAATTAGTCAACTGACTCTTATAATTAATACCGGAGGAGTAGTAGTTAGTTATTCGGACTTTTCCTTTCTTCCTGCTCAGCTATTATTTTTATTTATCTGGACATAAACTTACCTTGGTTTCGTTTACAATAGGTGCCCGCGCTCGGGAGCAAGAAGAAGCTTCTGCTTCCTCTGTTTCAGTTTAGCCCTCTGAATATTTTATATTTTAGTGGAGTGAGATTCGATTCCTAACATCATCCTGCATTCTTCTGGAAACGATCTGTGTTGCTAAACCACCGGGACGGAGATGGAGGAGAGTCAGAATGGCGGTGACGCCAAGTCGGCGATTCCGGAGTGTGAGGAGGATGTCCCTATTGGACCGGGGCCAGCCCCTCGCTCTCGCCCCAAACGTCCCCTCCAGTTCGAGCAGGCCTATCTCGATGCTTTACCCTCCGCAAACATGTGAGTTTTTGTTCTAACCTCTTTCGGACGTCTGTGTCTTGAGATCATAGCTTAGGGTTTAAGGTTTAGTTCTTTTTGTCTTTAAATCAGGAAAGCTCGATATCAATAGGTATGCAGGAAATTGTGTATAGTGAAGCTTTGAGTCAAGATGTTGGTTGTTTTCATTTAGGGTGTTGAGGTGCCGGTTCTTATGCACATTTGGAAAATTTTCATTGTTTTTCTTTTTAGTTTTCTAGTTTCTTGAGCGGCTGAAAATGTCTTCTTTTCTTCGTATGATCTTCCAGTCCGTTTGCTAAATGTATTGCTTCAGCGCAACCAGTCTTTAGTAATGCTGTGCTGTTTCCGCTGAAAAGTCAATTCAAGTACAATGAAACATCTCATTCCACCTGTAACTGCTAAAATAATCATAATTTCAGTAGTTCCCGAGATGAAGACGATTATGAATATAGTGAAGTTCATTCACCCATTATTTCACTGATACTGAGAGCACTGCTGCCAGAAAGCCACCCGCTTGCAATCTCACTGAACTTTTTGCATTAAGTTTTATGCCAAGCAACTGACTTAATTCCCTCGTGGTTCCGTTTTAAATGGTAGAGATTTCGTTAAGGTGGAAAAAGACAGAGATGGATTATCATTCTTCTATTAAAGGAAATGATTATTCCAAGAAAGTATTTCCGCTCAACAGAGTAAACTATCCCCTATGCATAATAGACAGGGAAGCTTCCGACAGAAACGCAGAATCTGAAACTGATAAAGAAGATGATGATTATAATAGCCTATCGACTGAAGATGTGAAGGATGAAATCACTGATTAGTGAGCAATAAATTCTACCAGTTATCTCCCTTCAAATTACAAATTTACCATAAAGTAGCAGGATTAAACCTCCTTTTTTTACTCTGAAATTTTGTGTGCCTAATATGTTGAGTATAATTGCTCTAGTGCTTCATTCTTTTTTTCCAGTAGGAAATCTTGGTAGACCTGTGTGAAGTTTTGTAAACAGTGATTCTTTTTATCATTGCTTCTCCGTCTTTGTACAGGTATGAGAAAAGTTATATGCATCGTGATGTAGTTACACATGTTGCTGTTTCATCTGCAGAATTTTTCATAACTGGGAGTATTGACGGTAAACATATCCTCAGCGGCTTATCTATAATCATTAAATTTTGCATGTGCGTGTGTTTGCGTGTACGCTATTAGAACTCTGTACAACAAATTTGGTTGTTATATTAATCAATCCAATCAACTTCAGCATTATATATTTGATCCAAGCATATCTTGACTTCTTCTTCTTTTTTTTCTTTTTTTTTGAGTAATTTTTCTTCTCTGTAACATACTGACATAGCCTTTTTTAACTTGACAACATTTGTATCCTTTTCAATAATATCAGACCAATTGACTCTTTTTGTAATACAATGGCTTATTGTATGATACCATGAGTAATCTCTTCATGGGTAAATTTCTACTTTTCAACAGGGCAGTTGAAGTTTTGGAAGAAAAAGCCTATTGGTATTGAATTTGCAAAACACTTCAGATCCCATCTTGGTCCAATTGAAGGTCTAGCCGTAAGTTTATCAACCTGGTGAAACTCTTTTCATATGAAATAATGTCTAACTTATCCCTGCCCCAATGCTGTTCGATGGAAGATTTTTATTTATATGGTTAGATATGCTTCTTTCTGAAAGTATATAAGTGACGTGAATTTTATGTATTGAGCATGTCATGGATTTTCTACTGCTGAATTGTACGATATTGTTCATCCGCGCATGGAAAACAGGTGTTTATAAATGTGTTTATTATTTCATTGTAGTCCTGAATTATTCTATCCCGACCTGGGGTCTTCCAGGTCTCAGTAAAGGCGCAAAGTTTATAGCTGTATTAAGGTACCTGCGTTAAGCATGGATTAAAAAATTGCTGTGCCTTGAGTATTGCAGATCCTGCAGACACAAGTGGAAACATGCAACTAAATCGGTGCTCATCATGTTATATATGTTACTGGAAATAGTTGATATTGGATTTGTCTTTTAGAATGTTGAGAAACATTCATCATGTTTCCAGCAGATAATCACTTGTGCTGGGATAGAAATTCCCCCTTGGATATTAAAAATATGCTTTTCATCAACATTGACTTGTTTCTGCTGCGCAGGTTAGTGTTGATGGTCTTCTTTGTTGTACAATATCAAATGATCATCCTGTGAAAATATATGACGTAGTCAACTTTGACATGATGGCCATGATTCGTTTGCCATATATTCCTGGTGCTGTTGAATGGGTTTACAAACAAGGAGATGTCAAAGCTAGACTTGCCATTAGTGACAGGAACTCATCTTTTGTGCACATATATGATGCGCGAGCTGGTTCAAATGAACCTATGATCTCCAAAGAGGTGCCTATTCTAGACCAAGTTGAATTTCACTGACAATTCAAAATGCTTATCTTTTTTTTGTTGTCCTTTGCGATTATTAATGAATTTGATTGAACCACTCTTCCTCATTTCAGGTGCATTTGAGTCCTATTAAAGTTATGAAGTTCAATCCACTATATGATTCTGTAATTTCAGCGGATACAAAGGGGTTAATTGAATACTGGAATCCTACTACACTTCAATTCCCCGAGGATGAGTATGTGCTTATTCTCATGCTATCACAATTTCCTACCTCCTTTTAATGTGTGATTATTGCTCTTGGTAGCTGTAGTAGGAAAGTTTTCATTCATGTATGAAAACAAATCGTATAGGATTGCAATCTTTAAATTCTTATTTGCAACATTAGGTTTTTAACATTTATTTATTTAATCTAGGGTGAATTTTAAACTAAAAAGCGATACGAATCTCTTCGACATTGCGAAATGCAAGACTTCTGTTTCAACTATTGAGGTATCATTCTGGGCATAAATCTGAACTTATAGTTCACCAGTCAACGTCAAGATAGGTTACTTAATGATATAGATGCTTTCTTGGTAAAAGAAGACGTTTACTCACAGTGATGCCCTGACTTTTAGGTCAGTCCAGATGGAAAACAATTTTCCATAACATCACCTGATCGCAGGATACGTGTGTTTTGGTTCAGAACGGGTAAATTAAGGCGAGTTTATGATGAATCACTGGAGGTAATGCCTCACTGGAAGTTTGCACTGAGTGTATTGGCTTTTGGAAACTATTGGTCATTGAACAATTTTGTTAATAGGTTGCACAAGATCTCCAGCGAAGTGACTCTCCCTTGTATCGGCTGGAAGCCATTGATTTTGGCCGAAGAATGGCTGTTGAGAAGGAGATAGAGAAGACAGAAAGTGCACCGCATCCAAATGCTGTTTTTGATGAAAGTTCTAATTTTCTTATATATGCAACCTTGCTTGGCATAAAAGTAAGTTACTAATCTTGTTTAATTGGTTAATAAATCACCTTGTACGACTATTTTTGCATTCACTTCCTCAAATTATATGATTTCGTACATATAGCATTTAGTGCAATGAGACGACTACTTGATGCTTTGTACTCTAATGCATTTTTTATCTCCAACTGTTTATAGATCATAAATTTGCATACCAATAAAGTTGCCCGAATACTTGGGAAGGTGGAGAACAATGATAGGTTCTTAAGAATAGCTTTATATCAAGGGGATCAAGGCGGTAAAAAAGTAAGAAAGATTCCTTCAGCAGCTGCAAATGTCAATGAGAGCAAAGAGCCTTTGACAGATCCCACTCTTTTGTGTTGTGCCTTCAAAAAACATAGGATATACTTATTTAGGTAAGAGTTTAACTGTCAGGTTATATAAACTCTATTTGGGATTATTTCTGCTAGTGTTTCCACAGTGCCCTGGTTTCCCAATGTCATTGATCTGGATGATGTTGCCATTTTTCCTGACTTGGCGTCTGTCATGATCTTATCAGTCGGAGAGAACCAGAGGAGCCTGAAGATGCAACCAAGGGGAGAGATGTGTTCAATGAAAAGCCTCCTCCTGATGAACTTTTGGCGGTTTCAGATATTGGAAAGGCAGTTACAACATCGCTTCCGGAAAATGTGGTGAGTTATCTTAGTCTTTGAAGTAGACTGTTCTCTTGACCTGCAATAAATTTCAGGGATAAATTTACAAACTCAAATCATTGCTTCATGGTAGAAATAAACGTCATCTAAAAACGTATTCCCTCCCCAATAGGTGGATTTATTCATTTTTCCTTGGCTACCCTACCTTCTTGGCTGCTGCTATGTAGTTGTCAAAAAAATACTAGAGGGTGTAATTCAGTACTTGTTTCCAGCATCTACTCCTGTTTGCCCTTTTTGTGTATAAATCATGAAACTCCAGCAGATATTCTTATGAATAGGGATGATACCAGAACCATGAGATGTGCATTGTTAAATGTGGAGTATTGTAACCTCCACGCAGAAATTGGCGGGTTTAGCATTGTTTGTCTGTGTGTACATGTGGCTTATTGGGTTTTGCTTTCTTTTGCACTTCAAACCCTAAACACCCTTTTCCCTAGAAAAACCTTCTGGATTTATGTATGTCTATTTAATATAGATCATCTCGCATTACCATAAGGATAATGATTACGTCTTAATTTTTTCTTTTTCCAGATTATGCATACTTCTATGGGTGACATTCACATGAAGTTATACCCAGAGGAATGTCCAAAAACTGTGGAGAACTTCACGACTCACTGTCGGAATGGCTATTATGATAACCTTATTTTTCACCGAGTTATTAAAGGCTTCATGATACAAACAGGTGATCCCTTAGGGGATGGCACTGGTGGGCAGTCTATTTGGGGTAGGGAATTTGAGGATGAATTTCACAAAAGGTAAATTAATTGTTTATGTAAGTCATCCCTAATCAAGTTCATCATAGGTTGTTAGTACGGTCGTCATCATCACCTTGGAGATTCCTCTTCCTTCTCCAATTTAACGAGAAATATTGCATGCAATCACATGGATTATGAACTTGACAGGACTCATTTTGGTGATTCCTTGGTTAAACTTTTTGTTTACGTGTAGATTAGATTATATTACCGCTAATTTTTCACCATGTATCTGTGCACATACAAGCAAAAATCCATCATCATTCCAGTGTCCTCTTGTGTACTAGTCTGCGTAACAAGTAGAATTTTCTAGCAAGATTTGCCCTATAATGGAACTCTCAGCGAATTATTTGCCCCTGCAGTTTAAGACATGATAGGCCATTCACATTATCAATGGCAAATGCGGGCCCAAATACAAATGGTTCTCAGTTCTTTATCACCACAGTGGCCACTCCTTGGCTGGACAACAAGCACACTGTATTTGGCAGAGTTGTGAAGGGAATGGATGTCGTACAGGTAAATTGGGTTTTGAACTTGCTGTCACTACCATCAAGAAGATTTCAAGACACATTGTCACCTATCGGAATCGCTTTTGCACTTTCACAGATTAAAAATCTCTTTCGAGTTTCCACTATTCTTCTATTTTATTCTTCGCATTTGACTTACATCTGGGAACTCCCGGTTTTGATGACAGGCTATAGAAAAGGTAAAGACAGACAGAGCAGACAAGCCATATCAAGATGTTAAAATCCTAAACGTTACTGTGCCAAAGTCTTGAAGGTCCTTGGCCTGTTTGATTAGTCCTTATTGGACGCACAAGCTTTAACTGGTAAATATTTTTCTTCTTTCCTTGACTTAGGTCTTGTCTTATTCCATTTCAGGATCATCATTAGTTAGCTTGAGGACATATGTATGCAAGTATTACCCGCATAGGCGAAGAAATTGACATTTATTCGATTGATTGAGTAAAAGCGTTATGCTATATGATTACTGGCTGGCTTATAAATATTTACGATTCTTTCAGGCAACGGAGCTAACAATCAGGCTGATGGAAGTTGCAAGGGATGGTTGAGACGTGGCAGCGCAATTTGTATTTCTGATCAATCAAATTTTGTTTGGGCAGTCTATGTATTTGTTTTGATTGATTATTACGAGATTAATCTTTTTTTCTCTTTTTTTTTTTCCTTTTTTCAACTCCATAACATTAAGCAGCCAAAAAATGAAAAGAAAACTCCATAACTTCAAGGGAAATGCTACAAGCTCCAATACTTGACCATCTGCCATATTGTTCATGTGGGGTTCTGATGCGCTTCTGGTTGAAGATTAGGCTTATTTTAATTTCTTTTTAAATGAAAAGAAGGTACGTTTCATTGAGGATCATGAACAAACCAATCAATTCCTTTCAGCCTTTCATGAAGATATTATTGTCGAACATTTCAGTAGCACTTCTTGGGGAGCATGTCGTCATCATCGATAGGCACAAAAAAATAATTGCCCTTCCTTGTTTTGGATTGCGAAAAATTTAAGTTGAATATTAACAAGGTCAAATGCTTCTTTTCCTAAATAAAGCTGAATGTGCTGATTCCAAAGACAGACATACAAGAAGCTACAAGAATCTTAGAAAAATTATTTGTTATCATTTGCCGCGTCCCTTTGATGAAAAACAGGAGATAATCAATCACAGGCACGAAAAAACATTCTCCAATTCGTGCGATTTCTGAGCTCGCGAGTTTGCGATGTTAATACATCGCCGTTAATAAGTGAGACATTCCGTCTCGTTTCCCATTTTATTCGCCTTTCCATTGAGCCGTAAGCCAATTTTAGTGAAATAAAAATCCTTTAGGGACTATTAAAGCATCGAACCATGCTAACTCCAGTTCTTATTCTCACGATTGAAAAGGTTTTCATAATTTTACGCACGAGTCAGATTACAAATTAATTAGAACATTGATTTTTCTCTCACAATTACCTCGATATTGAACGATAATTTTAGAAATTAATGAATCAAAGAACCATCTTCAAAACAGCGGTAATTGTTCCAAAATTTAAAAACATAAACTGCTCTTCTAACTCTTGTTCTCAGTTTTTGCGTGAAATGATTAAATTAAAAATGAAGAATGGAAAATTTTTCATTCCGTGATGATTGTCCCGCAGGAATCATAAATGCAACACAGGTAGTTGTTACTCATACAAGGATTAAAATTCACGAAACGTATCACTATGAAACTTCACCAAAGTTCGTGCAAAGTGAAATTGAAAATATTCATAACAGAGAAGCTGCTATTATATTGTTTCGAAAGATAAGTCTCAACCAAACCAACCTAAAATAATAATATGCAACTTCGGTAAAAGGTAAAAATAGTGTAAATGGACAAAAACCCTAAATAGGGCCGCAAACGCCACTGATAAACAAAGCAATTCAGACCTTTTAGTCGAATAAGCTGAAACCCATGTCCTGTAGAAAGAATAGCATCCATTAGTAATAAAACAATGCGCAATCAATATTAACAAATGGTCATTGATTATCAAGAATCACTGCAAGTTTATATCTCACCTCATCAGACTCCTCTTTCTCCTCCACCTTCTTCTCCTCCTTTGCCTCAGCAGCAGGTGCCGCTCCACCGGCTGCAGCACCACCAGCAGGTGCAGCAACGGCAGCAACCGCACCTCCGCCGCCTGGAACTGAGGCCAGCTTTTCTCTTCCAGCAGCAATTAGTTCGGTAATATCTTTGCCATTAACTTCATTTAAGAGAAGCTCAATCCTCTCATCTTCAGCCTCAGCCCCAACTGAAAATCATGATGACAGTAACATTAGGAACTGATCGGCAAAATGTGATACAGTTCCAGCATGAAAATTGAGGGGCAACTTCGATTTTAAATATTTACTGGTTGCAGGTTGTAGGGAAATCTTCGCATTCCATGCAACATATAAAATCATTTTAACTATCTGGTCACCCATACTAAATTTTTCCAACTAATGACAATAACAGTGAGAGGTAGGGGAAACATCAATTCTGCTTCCATGTAACACTTCGGATTTAATTATTCAGCTATCCAGTGTAGTGCAACAGCAGATGGGTGACATCAGTGATGGATTTGAAGAGAGAAGACGTTAGCACTGTGATCAGACGAGCCTTCTGAGATAACTTTTCACTAATACCCAATTCAGTCGTTGAAATGTAAAAATTAGTAGTGTTTTCTAACGCAATTGGAGAAATATGAACAGAAAAGTGAGAATCGAAGAGGCATGCAGACAATAGATGAAGTTTAAATAGATCCCATATATCCGCTATTTCACTCCTTTAATTTCCCTCCTCTCGTTATCACATATATTAATCAAAACTTCAACTATATTTTACACCAGCAATTTTTTTATTAATGTTTGAACTAGAAAGTTTATACAATCATTGAGAAAGCAAAATCACCAATGAATATAAAGTAAAACGCACCAATTATCCGCAAGAACAAAAGAATGAAAAGAGAAAATATGAGAGACACGGCACCTGAGCCAAGAATATTCTTTATATCATCAGCTGAAGGGGATGTGTTCCCTCCCAACACTGCCAGCAAATACGCTGCAATCACCTTCATTTCTGCCCTGACATTAAATTAACATAACCAATTAGCAAAACATATAGAGTCATCTCGATATGGAAGCATCATAAGCAGTCACAGAGAGCGCACTCGCAAGAAATACGAAAGGATAGCGACTGTAGGGTTTATGAGGAGTAAAGCAGGTAGGATAAAAGCAATAAAATCGTCAATAATATCATAAAAAAGTTAAAACGAAAAACCATAGAATTCCATTTCGTCGTGCATCAGAGAAAGGAATCGGACGATACCTGGGAGTGCAAAGGCGCCTTGCGAAAGACAGAACGAGGATTGGGCGCGCGTCGGCTTTCTCTTATTATTATAGAGGGCGGCAAAGTTAAAACCCTAATTCTGCAAGCCATATGTACCCGAAATGACAAATTTGCCCTGATGTTCTTCGCCAAGACTATTTTGGATATATCGTGTGTGTGTGTGTATTTGCCTAAGAATTGCCTGATATGTATAGGAATTTTTTTTGGCCAGAAATTTGTGTATGATAATTGCTAGCAGGTTTTTTAACATAAAAAAATTTGTTTTAAACTTAAAAAAAAAAAACACTAACGATGTGAGATTACAAATAACTTTATAAAAAAGTTCTCATATGATTGAGTTAATTCCTATCTTTGACTGCCTAAAAGAAAGTGAAAATGAAAACTAAACACTTAAAGAGTCCATTCAATTTAACGTTATGTTGCATGTTGTTTTACTAAGAATTAAGAAATTACCTCATCCAAAAAAGAGTTAATGATGGATGGATGAAAGCACACAGATTAACGACTATAGATGTTATATTGGGCCGGAGGTTATTGGGCCATCGTTAGGGTGGCCCATTGAGCAATTCTCATATGAGGGAATTTCCCGGCTTCACTGGCGCCCTTGTTATCAACGATCTCCTGGGTACTCGATTCCCCACTTTGACGTAGACTTTTAATTGGGCCTGGTCCATCGCAGTGCAGCGTGCAAAGCGCTGTCTTCGGAAGAAAACAAAACCGGGGCTGTGGAAAATTAATCGGCCACCGTATGCAATACTTTTTTGTATTTCATATTAATACTGATTATCTAATCAATTATTTGCCTATGTCATATTCGAAATACAAGTTTCAAGAGTGTAATGTTCTATATATATATACTCCTTTGTTTAAAGGGTAAAGAAAGCAGGTTTTTTTTTATATATTTAAAGTCACCTCATTAAAGTAGTAGGGGGAGGGGAAAGGCTTGGGCTGGGCCTACCTATTTCGAGAGGACCTCATAAAGGAACGAGAGCCGTTGAGAGGTTCTATATTGCCGAGCCGAAGGTCTTCTATACGTGATCGTAGTATGTCACGTTGTCTCGTCCCCGCTGCATTGAAGAGTACCTATGCACTATTTCCGGTTCACTGATAAGGAAGAATGTGAATGTTTTATTTTATCCTTTATTTATTATAATATATGTAGTTATCTCTTTTGAAAGTATATATATTAGATATGGGTAAAATTGAACAATTGTTATATTTTAATGAAAAGCTAATGCATTTTAAAGTTTTTTTTTTTTTATATAAATATACTGAAAGTGCCTTATAAATAGAACCAAAGGAGTATTTCTTACTATTCACTGATGTTGAAAAATAAACATAAAGTATATAATATTCATTATTTGTTAAATAAATAAACATAAGAAAATATTAAAACATACAATTAATGATAGGTAATCTTATTTTAATAACAATATTCACGTTTTTATTTTTCCGCCGTGAATAGAACAATTTTTTCTTGGGAACGTGAGTAGAGCAAGATTTTAATAAAACAATCTAAACTCCAGTCTCAAATCGAAGTTTGAAATAGAGCATGATTGGACCTATTCGACTTTTAATCCAGTCTGCCATTTCAATCAGGGCATAAGTAAAATACTCCCTCCGTTCCTTATTATATGAGACAAATAACTGAAGTACGATAAAAAAACAGTTAAAATTAGTTAAGAACAATTAATGTGTAAAAAAGTATAATTTTTTTTCCAAAAATGCCCTCATTAATAAGGAGAGCATGAGAGAGAACAATTAAATTATTAAAGATGAGTGTGAGTTGGAGATAATAAATATGGGTAAATAGTAAATCAACACAAAAAGTAGAGACAACTTGTAATGTCTCTTATATATAGAAATATGCATAAGCATCAAATGTCTCTTATAATAAGGAACTATACTGCTTCCGGTCATTGATATAAGAGCTTATTTAATTTTTATTTTGATCATAAATATAAGACCCTAATCCACTTTGTCTCTCATATTTATGTATTTTTTTCAAGGTAGTCCTTCTAATAATGATAATTTTAGACAACACATTTGATTAACAAGGATATTAAAAAAAACAACACATATTTATTATAAATAACTGATTTAACTTGTTTTTTTAATTTTTTTCAAATAGTCAACTAACTCTTATAACTATGATCAGATGTAATATAAATTAAACTGGGTAAATTGTCGAATGGCGTATGGATTTTGAGATTGTTAATTCAGAGGGACAAAATTAATGTTTTGCGGCATTGGGAATAGGCTGAGGAAAAGTTTTCTTAAAAAATGAGAGATTCCTAACACATCATTTTTAAAGGGACAAAATTAATGTTTTGCGGCACTGGGAATATGTTGAGAAAAAGTTGCTGGTCAAAAAAACAAAAGGGAAAGTTTTCTCAAAATATGAGAGATTCCTATCATATCATCACGCCAAGGTTATTTCTCACCCAGTAGAAGAGTTGTTCGACTCTCTTTCTTTTTCTCTCTTCGCAAGTGCAACTGCTAATTGTTATGTCATCTTGAGTTAGGTTCAACTGGTCTAAAATCTTGGGTGGGTATCTATTATTTAGCTTGGAGGTTTAACCTGGATCCGATGCATCCAACTCGATAGGCATGCCTCCCTCTCCTCTATTTAATTTGCTGGCTTTAGGACCGAATTATAATTGCATTAAAAACACGGAGGAACACCAAAATAAATGTGACAAATGATGAATATGAGATTAATATTGGTAGACATACCTCCTGTTGTTTGTTAATACTAACTCTGATATTTAATATAAAATCTCATTTGATTTTTTTTAATTTTAAATATAAGATCCTAACCTATTTTTTTTATAATTATATTTTTTTAAGATAGTCATTCTAATAATAATAATTCTAATCAATATATTTGATTAGCAAAGATATTTTAAAAAAGAGAACGCCTATTTATTACAAATAATTAATTTAACTTATTTCTTTAGTTTACTCAAATTAATCAACTAGCTCTCATATTTAGGATTGAAAAACTCTTATATTTAGAACTAGAAGTAGTGTATCTCCTGTACTCCTAATTATAGCGGAGATAGTTATGTATATCTTCTTGCCCAGTGTCAAAAAACAAAAATTTAAAACATGTCTTGCGCGGTGCCTAGTTAAAGCTGACGTGGGCACTTACGTTAGTTGATAAAGGATCTGATCCATCCAAGCGGGTTCAACCATTTGACGCTGAAGTTACACGCGAAGCGGATCCTCTTTGCACGGTGCATTGGGAAATACAAAACGGTCAGAGACGAGAATCTAAGCTCACACGCATAAACATGCACTTGCTTAAATTTTTTTATAATTAAGTGCATTGGCACTATTATTAGAGCAATTAAAATCATTAAAAACAATTTAATGAATCGTGTGTGTCTAATCATGTCTTGCAAAATGCGACAGGGTGTCATGCCAAACCATTATCCTAGTTCCTAATGCAGCAATGCAGGCACAGGTGGCCAAAAGGGGGAAAAGAAAGCGAAAAATTATAAGAAATGGTAATTATAAGGTATTAGATAATAATAATGATTATATATTATATATAAGCCTAACTAACTAATTAAAGTTATATCGTCTTCGTCTTCCATTATAGAATCTCTGATGGTAGTAGTGTCCAACTGCTTAACTATGTCATCTCCTCCCTGGAAAGCGGTTTTCCACATGCCCTGTTTAAAGGATGGGGGAGGGACTAAGCCAAATGCTAAACAAATTATTTAAAAAATTATCCCCGTATAAAGTAGCTAAACAGTAAGACACTATTTACGATCTTTAATTTAAGACATTATTTAATTTTTATTTTGATCCTAAATATAGGATCGCAATCTACTTTGTCTCTCATATTTATGCTTTTTTTCCCAAAGTAATCTTTCTAACAATGGTATTTCTACCCGATACACTTGATTAGTGAAGATATTTTAGGAAAGACAACACCTATTTATTATAAATAACTAACTTAACTTCTTTCCTTAATCTCTTCAAATGAGTCAACTAACTCTTATAATTAGGATCAAAGATATAGTATTTAAGAATTGGACCTCAAATTCTGAAAACTGAGTCTACATTGTCATACTCCTTTAATTTGAAATCATTCACCTCATGTTTATACTATGATTAATCCTCTAACAGCTTAACGTGGCACTGTATACATCCAATGTTCCTAGATACCTTAACCGTGGAAGCATTTAATTTAGTAGGACTTTAATTTGATTTTACTGAACAAGCTCGTCCAGTTCTATATCCTGGCATTAAAAAAGAATATAATATAATAAAAAGAGACGTGAACCCCCGTGTTATTATAGAATAAGTTGGCAGCACTCCATTGTATACACTCTTTTCATAAATTCAACTACTACAAAAAAAGTTAATAGAAATTTGAAAAATGACGAAAGCGTAGATTCAACCACTGAAGGTTAGCTAGTTTGTGCGATCAGTTCTCGAAACATGATTTTGATTTTTAAAGGGCTGACGATATTTAATTCCCAATAGAGTTCAAATTTTCCACGTTACATGTAAGTCCAAGTGTAAAATAAGCGCCTCGTTAAAGCTTAGAATTTAAATATCCACCTTAATAATAACAATTTCGTATGTGTTCAAAATTTAATTTTCATGAGAACGTATAATATCAGGTAAACTATAGTTGTTTCTATAGACTATAGCGCATAACCATGGGTTGGTTTCGTGGACCACCATCAATATCTTGGTGGTTTGATTATGTAACGATTTAAAGGTTGACTTATATATATATATATATATATATATCTTACAGAAGGGGTGGTCCTAAGATGAGGGTGAAGGACACATCGTCACTTGGAAGCTAAGGCGCAGACACACACATCTACAGAGGCAAAGTTGACAAATTAAAAGGAAGCAGAAGATGGAGGCATGCGTATAATATATCCAGTTTTTAACATCAGATCTACTTAATTAACTAATTTGAGTAAATTTGAAAAAATATAGTTAAATTGGTTATTTATTAAAAGTATATATTGGTTTCCCCAAAATATCCTCTTAAATCATTTATATTGAAACTACCATTTGATGCAAACCTCCCTTAACATATGCAATCAATAAGGTTAGTTTGAATAAATAAGTGAGACAAAATAAACAATAATTTCATATTTAGGACTAAATTCAACCTCCTACTAATTCTTATATATATCAAGGACTGGAGATAGTATAAGCGGGAACAACAAGTACAAGCACATGATAAGAAATACTATATACGTAGACAAAAGCTGACAAAAAAGGGGAATCAATACGTTTCCCCATACATGTAGAGAGATGAAGCCTTTTAATTTGTTTAAAGTTGAATAATAAGTTGTGGGTTATGCATGTGCAGCAGAGGAATAGGCAACCCTCATGTTTAATTATTTCTGCTAGGTTCTGATTAACTTATATATAGCCTCTCAATCCATATATAATTAAGATCCCGTGATACAAACGCCAGATTGATTATTGCCCTGGCCATCTATATATTCATCAATACACCGATCGAAAGAGTAAGTATATGGTCTTACTCGCACGTGATGTTCAATTAATCACCCATTTACTTGCTTAACTTTTCCCATGTCATTTAATTAATTAGACGTCTTTTGAAAATGTGATAGCTAGAGAGACTTCCTTATTTTTCAACCTAATAGCTAGTTTTGTGACTTTCACGTGCAGGCATTGAAAGCAAAATCCTGTATAGTTTATAACACGCTCTATCATGTGAACATGATCCCATGTTCGCAAAATGATTTCAACCGCTCATTAACATCATATATTCATAAATAGATCGCCTTATAATGCCCCGCATGTGACATTTGTTTCTATTATATGTTTGTTCGCAACTTTTTGTTCATTAATAATGACTAGCTTTTAATTTGATGTTATTGCTTTTGATAGAGACAACGCTACCATACATGCTTTGCGTCGTCGCAAGCTTTGTAATTTCTGTGTGTGTGTGTCGCGAAGGACATCAATTTAAATGCTTAAAATATCTAAGGACTTCAGTCATGAATTGATGTTTCTCGTAATTACGTAGCAAAACACAGCCTGGCTGCGGATATTTTAATTCATTCCAAGTACTACCCCCGGTCTTTAATATAAGAACTAGTTAACTAATTTAAACAGGTTAAGAAAATTTGTTGAGTTTGTTATTTGTAATAAATAAGAGTTATCTTTCTAAAAATACTATTGTCAATCTTGTGTATTGACTAGAATTACCATTTAATGAAATTTTTTACATCTACAATTACTACAAAGACTTAAAAAAAAAAAAAGAGAAACAAAGTGAATTGATATCTTATATTTAGAACCAAATTGAAAATCAAACTAACTATCCGAAAGTTTTATATATATATATATATATATATCTCAACAATTCAATTGCTTCATTACTAAATATTTATGCCAGGTAGATCAACAGGCATCATATATGTACTTAACAAAAAATGTTATGATTGATAATCAATGCTTAAGATGGCTTTAGTTCCATACGTGCAGGTAAATCTTTAACAATTGAAGTAATTAACATACAAATTATCAGATTGATTTCAAATGTAGTATTGCAGTCAAGATATATGGATCTAAATTGAGCACAAATATTGCCGATCTTCTCACAATAGTAATAATTGAAAAAAATTCAGCTGAACTTCACATCTTCGTTTGCAAAAATGCTTAAATTAATGCAGACCTATGATACATTTCGACCCCAAAAAAATAACGCAGATCATGTGTTTTGTATGAAATTTTGGGGGCAAGCCACATTGACTGTGGTTTACGAATAATATAGTATAAAAAATATAATTAGCCTTAAGGTGTGGCTGAATATTCATTTAGGAACAAGCGATTTTGTGGATAAACTTATAATAACACGAGCTTTTGCGGTGCTAATTCTCGGGGAACTCAAACTTTTGCTGGAGCTTGATATATAATCTCGATAATTTTTTCTAATCACTTGGATATCGTTAAGTATTAGATTGGAGTTAGCTTCGCAGTATTGAGATCCGGATCATGTTGGATTAAAAACCCAGTGAATTGGCCATGGATGATCAGTTAAGAGAATGAGACGAATTGCCTTGAAAAAACAAAGGGTGGACAACTGATCAAAACATTAAAAACCGATGGTGTAGCCGGGCAGTTCAAACTGGTCATTTATTTTAAAAATTTCGATTCAAACCATATTTTTAAGTTGCGTGCTTTATGCACACTTTTTTATTTACAATACAAGTGACTTTAACTGCTTCATTAATGTGACTTGTTAAATCCGTCTGACACTGAATTTTTTTTTTCAACTTTATCATATTAAATGAGGCCGTGAATGAGAGAGAGGAAAACATAAGAAATTATATTTAAACATTAATTACAAAAGTAAAATATATAAATATTAATCTCATCAAGTCCATTCTTCCAATCCAAAGGCAATCCACACCGAGACAGGCATGCAGCTGCTAACTGGACAACCGAATGAACATTAAATTGTGAATTTTAACTCCATCGATTTAATGATGGCTCAAGTTTCAATATACGGGCTCGGTTGATTAATACTGAGCGCATTAATTTAATGGACATGATAATTTTTAAAAAGGATAAAGGAATCGAAAAAAAGAAGGAGAAGCAGCTGGGCAGAGCTTTGAAATGGGCGCCGTTACTTGACGGGGGGAGGTGAGCAACACGTGGAGATAATACAGGAGGACACGTAGTCATTCTTCCCCTCGGCCTTTAAAGCTCATCCTTTGGAATTTGGACTATTGGGATTTGGGCGTGGCTTCCACATCAACAACATGGATGCAACTCTCCTTTTTTTCTTCATTATCAATCCTCCAATCAAATCTAACCTAACATTTCCCCAAATAGTCAACCCATCCCCCACCCTCAGCTATACTCTCTCTTATCTTTATCCTCTCTTTATGAATTATTGTTTTGGTCCTATTTATAGAAGTGACTTTCAACATGTTTTGCATAGGTTAAAAAAAAGATATTATATCTTATATAAATAAAATCAACACAACAATAAATAAAAAATAAAATTATATATTTATATAAAAAAATTCTGTCAGTGTCCTGTAAATACAGTAAAAAAACTTTTTTTTTTCTTCTTATAGATAGGATTAGAAGAGTAGGTTATAGGGAGATTTTGCCCTGTAATATCCTACCTTTAACAAAATTTTCATGTCATTAGGTTAATTGCAAGGTTATTGCCCTTCTCTTTATTCTATGCTGCTTAATTATAACAATTTCGTGTATCTTAAAAAATTGTTAAGCATCGAATTAAGCGTAATGTGCGAGGCAAGTCTCTTTAATTTTTTTTTTTGCCAAGGCAAGTCTCTTTAATTACCGAAGCGGGTTCTTTTTTTTTTGGGGGGGGGACTTTTCCACTTTTTATTTCATTTGGAATGAGACGATTCGTTTGATGATAAGTTTAAACTCTTACATCATGATCATATTCAATCATTCATTATTAAATGAATTGAATTCAAATTTTTAAGAGGTCTCTCTCGTGACTAGTTTGACAGACACTTCAAAAGAGAGAATGCACGCGCTTAACAATTGCTTTATGTGAACAATCCGAAGGAGGCGACAATGAGCCAATTAATTTGGAGCCTTTTTTGCATGGTATCACCCTGATCGCTCTCTCTCTCTCCATATATATATATATATATAAATTAAAATTAAAATAAAGTGCTGGGATTTATAGCCCAACCGGTATCAAACATCTTCTTTAGAGTTTTTTTGAGTGTGAGATTATAAATTTAAACTTTACTATGAGTGTGTGAATTATAATAAAAAATAATTAAAATCATGAGTACCGTAACCATCTCAAAATCGAAAAGGTTTCATTTCTACGACGAGACTAATTATTTACATTATTTAGTTTCCTCGGCTCCTCATTAACTCTCACACCTACGCACCATGTGTTAGTTCACTTGAATTGAACTAAACTAACTAACTTTTCACTGTAGTTGATCAATCCAGTTCCTGCAAATCCGTCTCTCTCCTCAACATTTAATTGAGATCATCACTGCCAAATCACCGTCTTCTTTCACTCACTTGAACCGGCATGCCGCCTCTCACGGTGGCTGTGAGACCCGGCATGAACCGAGGCTCTGACTCTGCTTTCACGACCCGGATATCAAACCTTCGGACCAACGCTGCTATCACAGACTTCGTCTCCACCAGAGCCAACTCCTTCCCCAAACAAATCCGTGCTCCGGCCTGGAAAACCGGGTACTTGAATGGGCACTCAGCCACGAAGACGCCGTCTCTCAACCACCTCTCTGGCTTGAACTCAAGACAATCGGGGCCCCATATCCGCTCCATCCGACCCATTGCGTATGGATGGTACGTAACTCTGGTGCCCTTCCTCACAAACGTACCGTCCGGCAACACGTCGTCCTGCAGCGCGAACTTTGAGTCGAACTGAACCGGCGGGTATAGCCTCATGCTCTCGTGAACCGCGGCGTTCAGGTAATGCATGTCCCGCAATTGGTCAAACCGCGCAACTTCCTGGGCCGGTTCCATAACCCGGTCCAACTCTTCCCGGATTAGAGATTCCACTTGGGGATTTTTGGACAACAACCAAAAAAAGCAGGTCAACGAAGCGGCTACTGTGTCACGACCCGCCAAAAGAAAACTTACTACGACGTCCCTTAGGTACTTATCGTCGTTGACCGAGCTCATGAACCTCGAGAGGAGGTCTTTGCTCGTCGAATGACCCGTCTCGCGTCTCTGCTTTATCATCCCCTCCGCTAAATCACTCACCACTTTGATTGCTTCCTTCAATTTCTTCTCAGATCCTATGTTGAAAAGCCTTTTCATCTTCCATATTATCGGCGACGCCATCATCGCTCTCTCCGCCGACAGCTTCGATGCATCGTCGAACGCCACCGCGAGGTCGGAGACGGGAAGGGACGGTCTGAGACAACCCGGGTCCAACCCGAACGAGAATATGCAAATGTTGTCGAAGGAGAACCGACGAAATATGTCTTGTAAGTCGAAAACTCTGTCGATTTGACTGAAGATGGGAATCAACCTCGATCGGATCTCGTCTGTAACAACCTCCAGCGCGTAGGACCGAATCGCGACGCTTCCGAGCTCAAGGCTCGCCATTTTGCGTTGGAACCTCCAGGCTTCACCGTCAACGTTGAAGATTCCGCGGCCCAAGAGATCGCCGAGGAGGGTGGAAAACTGCTTGCCTTTCGGGTAGTTATCGAATCGGGTCTTGAGGATGTGCTCGACGTTCTCGGGATCGGCGGTTATGATGTTCCCGAGAACATGCATGTGGATGGTGGCAGTGGGTGATTTCCGAAGAAGGTGAGTATACCAATCAGCGAGATTGTTGAACTGTTTGGTCCAGCTCATGGTCAAGTAGGTTCGGCAAGTGTGGCAGTTACACCAGGGCTTCATTCTAAAGAGGAAGACGAGGAAGGAGAAGAAGGAGAAGAGGACCGTGAAGGAGAAGAACAAGAAGGTGAATGTGGCGGCGGCGGCCATGGGATATTGCTCAGCTTCAGAACTCATTGTTGAGAAGGGCTCTTATGAGGATGACACAGAAAGAAGAAGAAGATGAGAGAAAAGTGACTGCAGAAGGGAATTAGGAGTGATATAAATAAAGGAGGGGATTGACAAACAACGGGCAAAACAATTAAAAGTCATTTTCATTTGGAGTGCCGTAGTTTTCTGCTTTTTGGGCTTTTGTATTAATGGCTGAGTAAATAAAATCGGATACAGTTGAGAACCAGAGTGAGAGGGAATATTAAAGTGCATGAAGAACGCGTGCGCAAAATAACAACTAGGCTCCAGAGGCAGGGTATTTAGGCCGCGTGACTAATATTATAGTATTTTAATGCTAATATAATTATTATAAAAGTGGTATTGGGTGGGCCCATGTCATTTCCTATGTTTGTCTGTTTAACAAAAAGGGAACGGTGCTTGCAAGTCGCAGGTCACAGATCAGGTCATGGACGACGTCTCCATGTCGGCCTGCGTGTCTGCCACTTGGGCTTAGTTGATCATAATCGGCCATTGACTGGGAGAGTTAACAAAGTGAATTAGCATTTATTTATTTATTTAGATTTTAGAGTGATAGAACTATACGTATGCAACTTGGACATTCCAAATTGATTCCGGATTTGTAAAACAGCTAGCATGTTTTCGCGTTTCAAGATGTTGGATTTATATATATTCGGGACTTCTGGGCCAGTTGATTAAATGTACATGCATGCGTTATTGCGAACCAGATAATGAATTAATTGAAAGAACATGTGTCCTTTTCACTTTATTAATGTTTTGTTGTGGAATTCCTTGTACATGCATCGTCACGTGTAAGGTTTAATGAAACCATTGCACGCTTTCTTTTATTTTAAAGTACTGGAAAAACCCCATTTGATATTGTTAAAGTGTTCGCGTATATGTGGATTATGAGAATCCCCGCCCATGTCCAATAAAGTTGAACTTAATGCTATGTAAATTTAATATTTCATTGTTGAAGATATTATGAAAATTGAACCTGCTGTAAAATTCAATGATTTAATAGAGTAAAGGGCATTAGAAGGTCACTCCTTTTTTGCATAGAAAATTGGACTACATGCAATCCAAATTAATAAATAAAAAAATCCAAATATACATATTTTTCAGATTTTATTTTATATTGATTCAAAGAAAAAAAGTGATTATTCCCTTTTTTGAATTTAATGAAATTCCACAATAAAGTTCTTACTCTTATATTAAATTTTTTGTTGTATTAATTTACTTAACTCAAGAGGGATAAAGAGATGGATAAATTTAGGGATTTCTTACCTATATCACTATATTTTTGTTTGTCTATAATAATTGATTAATTAAAAAATATTTCAATTGGATTTTTTCAAGTGATATTTTTTTTTATGTTCCTAACATTTCTGTAATGGAAACTCAGGAAAGCTTTAGGTTTCTTCCCGGACTCGTGTGAAGAAGACGTCTTCGAAATTAAAGCTTGTAATTGTGCACTTGTTTCGCCATCAGCAGAGACTTGGAATTTGTGGCGTTTTTTATATGAAGCTGATGAAAAACTCATAGCTGACGGACATTAAAAATTGTCGGGACCGCATCCAAGTGTGAACTGCTTGACATAGAAATCTAGTTAGCTGATTTTTAGGAATCAAATAGACCTTTATTTTGAGGATAACGCCAAATAAGACTACTGATCAAAGAAAAATTAAACCTCTTGCACATTAAACTACAAGATTAGGAGCTAAGGTCAGTTTCACATTGGTCCATGATGTAGATATTTGAGATGCTACATTAATGATCAATTTACCAAATTAATTTGGGTCACTTTTAAAGCTACGAACATCCTAACTTTGTTATGAATTACTAGCCAGTATCAAAAAGAAAGAATATGCAATAATTCGTGATATTTTTCTTGGAAGGAAAATAAATGCTAAAGATTTATTAATACCAGTGATTACAACGTCACAAAGCTATATATATTTTATAAAGATTCGTTCAACCAGAAATCACAGAAAATTTCTTAGGTTCTTATTGAATTTATCTATCCCCCTCCCCTCACCTTTCGTTCCTTCAATATGCAAAACAGCGATTGAAAAAAAAAAGAAGCAATTATTTCTTAGCTCTAATTTTGCTCTTGTATTGATATTTTTTCTTCCTATAATTAATGCAATTTAACTTTTTTTTAATCCCTGGTAAAAAAATTGTTTTTTTATCAATTAGTGCCTATTCTACAATTTACAACGCACCTTAAAATAAAGACTCTACTAAAAACATTTTAAAATGGCATTATAATAAGGAGTATAATAACATAAAATATCGATGCAAAAGTTGGAATGCATTTCAAGGATATCATGTTTGCTAGCCAGACCCTAAGATTTTGCGACATGACTTATGGGGAGTTTGGATAAAAACCAAACCATAGTTTCAGAAGTAATTTTACGGTATACAAAGTAAATATTAGAAGAATTTATCTTGATTTGCAAAAAAGTGCCTTTCAGAAGAACTTCTCATGCTATCCAAACACCCCCTTATTAAAATTAAAAAAAATTGGGATTGAGTCGATTTGAAGTAATTAAAGCCGCAGTCACCCAGATAATACTCTCTCGGCTATCTTTTACGAGGTCCTGTGAACTATTTTCATAAAATTAAAAAAAATTGGTTAAATGTAAGAAAATTTTAACTTTTCAAAAAAATTAGATACCTTTAAATATTGATCTAGTTCATTGTTGAGAGAGAAGGGGTTCGATCGGAGGGTTAATAAGAGGGAATGGCTCTTTTTTAAAAAAAATAAATTACTAATGTTTTATTTAATTTTTTGTAATGAAGGGTTTGACATGAATGATTAATGATGAGTAGGATCTTATAAATATAACGGGAGTGTTTTTGGCTTGACGAGCACGAGGAGTGACATGAAGAGGGTTCAATGTATTTGCGCGGCGGGCGATTTGTCGGAAACGATGAAAACATAAGGTTCATGCAGTGCAATATGGTGAACATATATACAGGTGTCGGTAGGAATCGGCCGGTCTCTCCACGTCCACGACACGGTGCTATCCCCTGCATTGCATGCGTTAACTTGCATTCGTTTTCCGTATTTGAATTCTCCTTAATTCTACAATGCAAATCACTGAAGAAGATGATTAAAAGAGGAAGATGGTTAACAGAGATCAACAAAAAGGCTTTTTACTAAATTCAAATTTTTAAATTGGTCTCATCTCTTTTTCATAAGATATAGTTGTTCATCGCATTATTTTTTTTCATATATTTTTTTCTTTTTTAATTAATGTTAACGGATTTATTAAATTATATAATTTGATGATTTAAATCTTATAAAAAAGGGTGGCCAGAATATTAATTAGCTACAATCATGTAATAATAAAATTCCCGATCTCTAGTTGCATATATTTCATTTTAATTACATTTTATTAAAAGTATTGTGATAATTTTTTTTCTTTTTAATTCTACAAAATAATCATAAAAGTTTAGGCTCCGTTATATAATTATTATTTTTTTTATTAAATACTCCTCCGGTTCTTAATATAGGACCTAATTCTTGAGTTGGTTTTGGTTCTAAATATAAGACCCATTTCTCATATTTATCAATTTTCTCTAAATTACCCCTATAGATACTCATTTAACCATAATCAAATAGAAGAATAAGAGGAGGTATTAAGAAAGATGATTATGGTATTTTAGGAAAAATATGTCATTTTTCTTATAATTAACTAACTTACCTAACTTCCTTAATCTAATCAAATTAGTTAAATATGTCTTATATTAAGGATAAGAAGAGTAGTTACAATCGTGCAATAATAAAATTCCTGATATCTTGTGAGCAGTAATCTTGCTATTGTTGTGTGTCAGCCGCAAAACTGAGGAGTACTGCGGCCGCCGACAAAAAAAGAAAAAGCAGTTCTTGAGGATTGTGATGGTGTTTCCTGGGGTCGACGAGTATACCTGGATAAAGATCCTCTACAGTACAAATGCCAGATTTTCTTGGTTTTGAAAAGACGTTCAAACTTACTCACTCAATTATTAGCGGGCGACTTCTGTTAAGCAAGTTGTGAATTTGAATTAGAACAGTGAAGTTATAGTAATCAAAACCAACGTCAAACTCTCCGTCATTTCATGGTGGAGGTAGAGAGCGGTCAGGAAAAAAATCAAAAAATTTAACTGGAAACACAAACTCCCAGACAAAATGTTTGACTGTAGAAAGATTACGGCAAAAGATGTCCGTCCTCCGAGTGTTTATCTGGAGAAGTGAATCAGACTTGAGAGTAGCATCGCCGTCTCCGAGTATAATTTACTGAAGTTAGATACAGAAATAATTGAAATACTAACTATATAACTAAGGAATTTATAAGGAGGTCATTGACAATCATACATCCTTGAACCTTTGGTTCGAATAAGTATTTGAACCTGTACTTATGCCATTTAAAAAAAAAAAAAAAGATAATACCGTAATCAACATGACTAACAAGACATCTTATAAATTATTTTTTCTAATATTTAATATAAGAACTCGTTGAAATTTGAATTGAGTTCTAAATATAAAATCATAATCCATTTTATTTCTTAAATTTATAAATTTTTTAAAAAATATCTTTACTAATTATTGGTTGTACATGTAAAAAAGGATCAGAAATAATGATAGGTTCAATCGTACATGTGGGGCGAAGAATCATGGATGGCCAACTCCCGGGGGGGGGGGGATTTGGGATGCACATGAATGTAGAGGAAAATGTGAGATAAATTTCTAGTTAAGGTGAGGCCGAAGAGGAACAAGTGGGGAAGAAAACGAGTAAGGTGGAAGGGGAATACAATTGGAGGGTTTGAGGTGGAAGGTGCGTGTGGGATTGAAAGCTACTTTGTGGGGATATGGGATCGTGGACAAGCATCATTCACACACACACACACATATTGGAATAATGATGAAACAGAAATGGGGCCGAGGTTGTCTGGTGGTGTTATGTTAATAGGTGCATGTGACGTGTTGTTGAACTAGTAATGAGAATCCCATCACAACTTCATGATGGCCGCTTTCGGACTACTGGGATTGCGATTGATATAAATATATACACATA